GCCGCTGACGCGGTACGAGCCATCTGGTTGTTTGGTAGCGGTGGTGGTCAGCCGTAACGTGTCGAGACCACTATTAGGCTCTGTGACACCGAAACAAACCCGCCATTTGCCTTGGATGATGTTGGGTATTGTGCTTTGCAGCTGCTTCTCTGTGCCGAATTTTGCTAGAGGCTGCGTGGCATAGACATTCGCATGAATCGCCTGGGCGCCTGCCATGCCAGCGCCGCTCTCGGTAATGGTCTGCATCATCATGACCGCCTCGGAGATGCCTAGGCCGGAACCGCCAAGGGACTCGGGGAGGGCTATACCCAGCCAACCATCCTTAGCAAGGGCAGCATGGAAGTCTTGAGGATCCTGTTCGGTCTGATCTCTTTCCTGCCAGTAGGTATTGGGAAAATTGGAACACAGCTGACTGACAGCTTCTCGGACAGTCAATTGCGTATCTGAGAAGCCGCTCGTGTCCATAAGGCGTCTCGAGCAGGTGGCAGAAAATGAGCGCCTGGTGTATCCATGGGGCGGGCCTCGCCACAAGGAGGGGCTGCAACTACCCTTGACACGTTGTAATGCCCTTGCGGTTGATTGTGACATTTCTGATGGCTTCGAGGGGGATTTGGCTTTGGCGACTGGGCCAGATACGACGCTGAATGGCTCGCAGTAGCATGTGCTTTTAATGCCGTAGTTAGCTGATGGACTCGGCTCCTGGGCCCGAGGGTAGCGGTGTCTAACCGAATGTGGTAATACCCGAGACTTGCCTATCCGCCTTCGGATATCCCTCATATTCAGAAGCAAGGCATGCTGAAATATCCGAACATGGTAGAAGGAGTGCTGAATGTTGAGATTCTCGCGTATCATGAACATAAGGGCCTTGCAACCAGTATCAATCCATATCCAGCAACCAGAGTTTGACTTCTACATAAAGCCATATTTCTTGATTCGTATTCAAGGTTTCAAGCTAAACCGCACAGCTAATATATGTATTCTTGTTGGGTCTTTTCTCGGAACAGAAGTTTACGGAACCGGAGAGCTGTCTCATGCCCGAGAAACCCAAGAGCAAATGGACAGCAGGACTCTACTTCATGAGGCAGCCTTGCGGGGTAGGTTGGGGGTGATCGACGCAAGAATACCTGATATCGGTGGGAAGACTGTAGCAGATATGGCTCTAGACCGCAACTCTTACGATATCTATAACTTCATAATCACTCACATGAAAGGAAGATAAGGTGGTGTTGATATGGGGCAAATTTTTCTTTCAACGAAGCACAGAGGGTTAAGTGTGAAAAGGGTTAGCTAAGGTGGTGTGATGTCATTCTCCAGCCACTGACACGAGATCTGGCGTGAGAATGTTCACGAAATAACGTGGGGAATCAGATGAAAGACCGTGAATTTAAGTTGACTGACTAAACAGATGACATCGTATGATTCACGAATTCATCAGAAGCGTATTGTTCGATAATTTCCACTCTGTCCAATCCTCACCTTTGCTGTTCCAAACGAACCAAAATGCACGTCATAATCGCACCGGCAAGTAACAAAACGAGCACAGCTGCTATTCGCTCGCTGTTATCCCAAAACCCGGAGGTCCAGGTCAGAGGCTTGTACCGCGATCTGAAGAAAGTCCCCGACGAGTTCAACTCTACCAACAATTTTACGGCGGTTCAAGGTGACGTTGGAGATGTGGATACCCTAGACTTCTCTGGTTCTGATGCAGTTTTGATGGTCCTTCCGCCTGCCTACGACGGGCGTGACATCGTTGAGCATGCTCAAAGAATCTCAGGGAATGTCAAAACAGCGATTGAGAAGGCTGGTTGTGTGAGAAGACTGGTTTTGCTCTCGAGCGTCGGTGCTGAATTCTCAGAAGGCGTGGTAAGCTCACCGCTAACGCTGGTTAACCTCCACTGACTCAACTTCAAAGGGTGAGCTCAAGACAAATCACATCTCGGAACAAGTTCTAAAAAACACGAATATCCCCGAGATCATCATCATGAGATGCTCATACTTTATGGAAAATTGGACCATGTCCGTTGAAACGCTCAAAGGCCCAAACCCCTTCTTCTTTTCGACCATCACGCCACTCGACTTCAAGATCGCCATGGTCGCCATCAGAGACATAGGCGAAGCAATGGCCACGCAGCTCACTCGCGATTGGACACCGCCAACCAAGCCATACATCATGGAACTCCACGGACCAGAGCCGTATTCTCCCCTGGACGCACAGAAGGCATTTTCGCAGGCGCTGGGTAAGGACGTTGAAATCAAGGCAGTTGAGAAAGAAGACCTCGCCGAATTCTACGGCAACATATTTGCGCCGCAGATTGTGAATGAGTGGGTTGAAATGAGTACATGCTTTTTGCCAGGTGGTATTGCAGAGAAGGATCTTACGAAGCCAAGTGATGTTGATGTTATTTATGGGAAGACAATTTTAGCTGAGGCTTTGCGAGAAGCGACAGCTGAACTGAGCTACAAAGCTTTGAAGGGAAATCAAGATTGCACAGTGGAAGACTAAATAGAGGCATTACGTATTAAACTCAATGAAAAGCATGCTATGCTATGTGGTTCTATGCAAACAACCCTCCACCAGCCCAGCCCCAGCTTTACTCCTTCAAAATAACCGGCTTATTATGCCACTTCAACTCCCCCTCCTTGTAATTCGGCTCCGGCAAAAAGTTCAACGTGAAAGCCTTCTGAACAGTCGGCGAGCACATAAGCTTCGCCAAGATAGTATCACCATTGATATACGGCAGAACATACTGATCCAAAAACTTCCACAGAAAGTTGTCCCACATGACCGCGCGCGTCGACGTACCCGCTAGTTCAACATCATTAGTAACATGGTTGAACCGTGTCTTCTTGTACTCCTCAAACGTCTTGGTAAGCTCCTTGATATCCGGGTTTGGGTTATCGCGAAGAAGGTCGCGGAGCAAGTTGATCAGCACGACGGTGGATTGCCATCCTGTGTTTAGGCCGAAGCCGATGTTAGGTGTCATTTTGTGAACGGAGTCGCCGACGAGGACGACACGGTCTCTGAACCATTTCTTTGCGACGCCTTCTTCGAATGGAGCTGTGTGAGTCCAGTTTTTCGCAGCCCAGACTTCCTTAAAGGTAACGCCTGGAGCGAGATAAACATCGCCATATTTCTTTGCAAGTTCATCGGCTTCTTCGGCAGAGATGTAATAACGATCGTTTGTTGGCTTATCGAGCTTGAGGTAGATGGTGAAGAAGTATTTCTCGTGCGACGGCATGATGAGCTGCGAGCTGAAACCCTCGGAGTGACATTCGTAATCGACTCCTGGTTCGAGATCTTTGGATACAGTGGTGCCGTGGCCGTAGAAGCCGTAGAAGGTTGTTGTGAAGTCACCACTTGTAGCATCAGGCGCGATGTCGTCGACAAAGGTTCGGGTTGTGCTGTTGATGCCGTCTGCTCCAATAATGAGGTCTCCACTATAGGAATGGCCATCTGCGCACTTTACTTCGACACCGTCGGGGCCTGAGGCGATTGAGGTGACTTGTTTGTCGACGAGGAGCTGGTTCGTTATGTCGGAGAGATCACCCATGAGAAGATTGACCAAATCGCCACGTTGGAAGAGCATCCACTCATGTCCGTGGCTGCAAACGTCAGCGCTCATCAAATACCCAAGAGGAAGTAGACTTACTAGTGACCAATGTTCTCAATCATGCTACTCCAACTCATAACACTTCCATCACGCCTAAGATTGCATTTCTTCTTCATCGGCAAATGCAGCGCATGTGCTTCATCAAGCAACCCAAGCTGATCCAGAACCCTTGCACTCTGCGGCCAAAGACACACCGAAGCTCCCCAATTCAAATCCGCTTCCTTTCTCCTCTCCAAAATTGTAAAGTCAATGCCCGCTCGTTGCAGCGCAAGAGCCGCTAGAAGACCAGTTGGTCCAGCGCCGATAATGAGCACCTTGAAACCAGACATTTTTGAAATACAGAAATGAAACAAAACGAAACAATTGGAGTGGAATGAGGTTAGTTTTGTATGAACTGACTAAATACCCCTCTCGTAGAACCAACGGCCAGGAAGAGCTATACGGCTTCCCCGGCTACGACTTTCCATTCAATGCGACACTGGGACTATTCCAAATATTTTGATAGGCTATGGCTAGGTCTAAAACTATGTTGGTAGGGTTTATATCCACGAGGATCCAGAACCGTTGGAGTGATCGGCGCTCGCTTGCAATTTAGATAAACATGGGTCTGGTGGTTTTTATTCGATGGGGCTGAGTCCTGAGGAAAGGGGCTAAGGGGATACGATTCTGAAGAGGTCTAACTACCGAATGTCACCTTGTAAATTGTGATATTCAGGAACACTTTGATAGGAATGGTGAAGTGATATGATGTGCCTAGATAGAGTTCTCCCACTTCCCGATTACGGATTTCTGGACCTAAACGCTGCCTTTCTTAGTTTTCCAGCAACCTTATCGTCATCCACTCCTTTTCAAACGAGTAAAATTCCATTTTTTATGCCGTAGCATTGGGGATATCAGACTACACCATTCACTGCGGGAAGATAGCCCCGACTGCAACAGTTCCGGCTGACGAGCTCTGGCCATCGTGCATAGGGGCATTTCACAAGATTACTCGTGAACAGAACCTTCAGCCCCAATCGTCTCTGGTCGATATGAAGTTGACACCTCAATAGAATGAGTTATCAAAACAGAGCCGTGGCTTAGTGCCGTGTCAATATTGACGAATTCCAATATCTCAGGCAAGCCGTAAGCCTCAAGTCGATCTTGGCTTACTGAATTCAAGGTCATCGCCCAGCCCCGTACTTCATGTCAAGGCTGGAATTTCTCGATATACGGAGCACTGCATTTATACAACGCTTCTAGATAATATTACGATCTACCACGAAGTTGTTTGAAAGTCAGAACATTCTTTATAATATCAAATTCCATAGATCGTATCTACATTATCCAACTAAATGACAGTATCTCAAATGTTGACCCAACAGCGAGCAATTCAACAAGCGTAGCCTCTCAGATCGCTCCCTCAAAAGGGGGTGCCTCTCTTCCCTCCGGTGGATCAAAGGTAGAATCCTCCACCTCATTCTCCGGACTCTCCTCATTCTCCTTCTCCTGCTCCTCCTGAACCTCCTTCTCAGCATCAGCCTCCTTCTGCGTCTGGTCAATCGCCTCACTAGCATCCTCCAGCTTCTGAGCCTCCTCCTTCGGAAGCTCTTCAGCCTGGTCCTTCAAGGCGGTCTGAATATCCTCACTCGTTTTGTTCAGGGTTGTCGTGGCATCTTTCAGAGATGCGTCGCGCTCCTCTGAGCTCTTGTTGGGATCCGTTGCGCCGGCGACTTCATCGCTGGCCTTGGCGAGGTTTATGGCTGTATCCTCTGTGGCTGGGGATGGAGCACCGCCTTCCAAGACTTCATTCATGGATTCTTTCTGTTGGCGGATGGTGTCTGTCTTGCCTTGGATGTCTTGAGCCTGGTTGACCCCCTTATAGCCCTGCTGCACCTCTGGCACAGTGGCCTCGACCTTTGAAGCCTGTGCTTGCACATCTGGGACTGACTCTGACTGGTAGTCCTTCTCAACTTTCTCGACCTTGTCTTCAGCGTCCTTCTTGCTGGTGGCGTCCTTCTCAACATCATTCTTCTTCTGGGTCTCGGCCTGCTTGTGGCCCTTGGCCATGTAGTACAGCATACCGATGCTGGTCAACATTCCGATCAAACCTTCGAGCATGCTAAGAGAGAATCCGTTGGCCGAGTTCTTGTTGCTAGCGTTCTTAGAGCTATCTGAAGGGTCTGGGATGGCCAACTGGTTGAGGTTGCCGGCCACCTTCTGCCCGTTGATGGTGCCCGTGAACGCAGCCCCAATGACATAGTTGGATACAGTTTTGCCGTCCTGCTGGCTGGTCTGGGCTACATTCAGCCAGGTGGGAGTCAGAGCAACTGACAGATTCCCAGTGCCTTGGTTCTGCTCCGACATGGTGCCATCACCTGCCATGACCACCGCCGTGTTCTCGTTGTTTGTGCCAGCCATGGTCAGCACAGCTGAGCTGTTATCAGCGCTAGCGGTAATGGCCAGTGTTGCTACCAAAGCCGGGACTTTGTCAAGGCTGTAGAGGTAGTAGGTTCCCTGCCAGGGGTTCGTGAACTGGGCTTGCCAAGTGAAAACCGCAGTCCAGGTACTAAGCGTGCACAGTTTGAAACTACCAGTACTCTGGAAGAACTTGTTGACCGCAGTTTTCTGGTTCGTCGTGTCACCAAGAGCTGTGCGGAACTGCGTAGCCAGTTGCGAAGATGGGTTCGCCTGGGTGTACTTGATGAACTTGAACGAGTCCACCATGCTCTGCTGATTGTTGCTAGTAACAGTGAAGGCGTTTGAATCAGCAAAGGGGGAGACTGCAAGCACAGCAACAGGAAACTGCTGGTAGAAGGTGCCGCTCAGTGCTGTGACGTTGCCAGTGAACATGGCCTGAAGCTGGCTGGCAAAGTGAATGGTCTGGACCTGCTGGGTGCTGCCGCTTGGCACAGTGGCCAGTTTGGTGTATGTCAAGGGCCCCTGCATCTTGGGGTCGGTGCTAGGATTGAAGACATCGTATATGTCCACAGAAGCACCAGAGTTGTTGGTGATTGAGGCGACGGGATTGGTTGTGGAACTCATGATTATTCAGGGTGAAGAGTAAAAGCGCGAAGGTCTAAGTGAGAAGGATGTTTTGATGTGTTGGATGATTGTAAAGATGAATGTTTTTAGATATAAGTGGTGCAGTCTTTGGAGCTATATATATATAATCCTCTGCCACAGTAGCGGGTATGGACACAAACGGTGAGATGAAATAATGGTGATGTTACTGTGCTGACTAGAATCGTTGAAGTTGTCCCGCACGGGGAGTGACAGAGTCTCGCTCAAAGTAACACGGATACTGTTAACCGCTCTAACCAATCATTCTTTGTCAGATGACGTTGAACATGCTCAGCCTTAGCTACTATCACAAGCCTGTCTCAATATTGCAGTCGTTATAGGGATAGGGATATTCAGCCAGCCACCATTCTGACCACCAAATCGAGTAGGCTAGCCTATATTATCGGCATTTAATCCAGTCGGTAAGCCCAAGATACACTAGTGATGAAGAAAGGGCTTACTCTATTCGGTATCGAACTCATAGCTGGGTTAGTTCCGATCGCTCACCATGAGGGGTAACTCCTAGAAACACATGCCGAGAGTAAGATTTCTAGTTGTATTCAGCCAGCCACTATACGGTCAGTCCGTTCTCATCTGACCGCTTCTCACGATATTGATTCAAATCCGTCAGCTCAATATTCACTATCGATTTCACCCAGCAGTCGCCTTACCACTCTCAGTATCGATTCCGCAGTTGGGATGCCCCCATTCGGAGTCGAAATGCCGAAAAACGGGACTTTCGTCCCAATTCAGCTCGTCACTAGTCTCACTGCCGTATCGCTACGAATCAAGGAGCCACCATTTTCGGTATGAATACGAAGCATGCAGCCCTAAACCCCCCATCGGTACATATTATCGCTAGTTCCGGTAGCTAGCGCCACGTAAGGAGCTTGGGCCGCCTATCACCCCTCGACCACATTGATAGTGTGTCTTCAGCCGTTCGAACTAGCCAGCCACGACAGTCGCTATTGGTTTGGAGCAGTCAGCCCTAAGCTTACGATGAGCCGCACAACCGGTCAGTGGAGCGGGGAATACAACGGTCTATGGGAAAAGGTCCAGTAGGATGCCTCGTAAGTGTTTCGTATGTGGCTGCTTGGAATAATCGTGTATCACACAAATGTCTGTACTAAACTCAATTCGCAGAAATATACAGATCTAGAACAAATAGCGCCTGTGATGAGGAGAGCTGATGCTCCGCCCTATGACGGAGGGAACGGCCCGGGTGTTGGTATCAAGCGGGTTCGGATATACCCGCACAAGGTCATCGCCTCAAACAACTAACAAGAGGGCTGAGTCGCATGGGATGTAAGTCACCGTAACATGCCTGGAGCAAGTTAATTATCAACCACGACCACCGCAACAATCACAATTCTCCATTCTATCATTGCCTTTTCCTTTCACTTTTCCCTCTTCTCTATTCCAACACTGTTTAATCTGACCATCATGGCTCCTCCCATTACTGCCCCCGAAATATCCTTTGCCAACCACTTAGACGTCAGCGTCATAGTCTACGATTCATTCAGTGACCAAGACAAAACCAATTATTTCGGCACTTTAACCTCCATCGCAACTGTACCCCCAAAGACCACAACTTCACTGCAGCTTAAGCACCACCCAGTCTCAGTGCTGATCGTCAGCGATGCGAAGTCCAACTCCCCATTGGCACGCATCATCTACTTGCAAGATGTGAGCACTGGCCCATTCGCTGTTGGCGAAGCCGATGTCAAGGCCATGGCTCAAACCATGGCTTTCATCACCTTCATCACCAACAATAAGAACGACCCGCTCACTCAAGCATTCAATGCTATCTGGAAAGACACCTCAAAGCCACAAGTCACCCCCGTGAACAAGTTCTTCGCTCAGCATGAGCAGTACAAGAGCTGTACGTTTGCTACCTACATGATGGGTATCACATACACAGCAGAGCAACCTGAGTCTAAAGGCAAGCCTATGGACCAGGCCTTGTACTCGCTTAGCACTCTCGCCACACTGCTCGGCGCAACTTGGCCGGAATTCTTGCCGGATATTGTGGTGACCAAGTTCATTTGCAATACCAATAATGATGTCCTCGCTCTTCAAGCTGGGATAGACCTGAAGAAGCTGCCTGCCCAGTCAGATGAGGCACTGCAGTTCTTTGGGTCTCTGTTCAATGTCCAGCAGCTCCAGGTCTCAGTCATGTTCAATTACGCTGTTGGCTTGAACATCTTCGGTACTCGCCTGTCCATCAGCCTTGATGCTATGCACGTACCCTTTGGAGGCGCGGGAACCTTGAACATCAACAAACCCACTGCTACCATTGACATCAACCCACTGTTCAAGTTCGTCGTCTTCACTGTTACTGGCGACATGCCGTTTGACATCTTCGACAACAAGTTTGAAGCTGACTTGTCTATGACCATTGACAACATCGAGGCTGCCTTTGGTGTTGTCATCAAGGGAGACAAAGGCCCGTTGCCAGCGCCACCAGTCATGAAGGGCGTGCACTTTGACTCGTTTGGAGTCGGCATCGGAATCATCTTCGAGCCTCCAAGTGCAGCAATCGGCTTGTCAGGTCAACTTCACATCGGTGACGCTGCCAGCAATACCATCGTGCCCCTTGATGATGACTCGTTCGTGGTTGTCTGCCAGTTGATAGAGGAGGTGCCAAATCCTCTCTATATATCCTTCTATGTGCCCAAGATGCACCTGACGGACATTTATACAGTCTTCACCAATGCCCAATGCCCCGTGGATGTACCCGTGTTGTTTTCTGATCTCTCTTTTCAGTGGTCTGAGAACCCCATGGAACCCGTCGTGTTGCCTGACGGGTCGCTTTCCAACATGGGCTACGGCTTCAGCGCCGCTGCCGACATTTTTGGCTTCGACTTCTACGGCGACGTGGAGCTTGACCTCACCAACGGGGTGAAAGCCGACATTGAGATGTCTCCCTTGTCACTGGGCAACATATTCTCGATCAAGGGAGATGGCGCTGGCGTTAGCTTAAAGGTGGATGCAAACGGAAATCCTATCAAGAACAATCAGATCATTACCAAGGCTGCGCAGAAGCAGGCACTCCAAAATGCCACGATGAAGCAGATGGTGCCCCCAGGTGGCGCAGTGTTGAAGATTCAGACACTGGCCTCGCCCTTCTTACATATCAACGGTGCCATAAACTTATTCGAGGTCGAGAACTGGCACCTAGAGGCAGACATCACCTCGGGTGGCATCAAATTCGACGTAGGTTTTGGCGGCATCTTGACTTCCAACATGAGCTGCACGCTGTCTGACTTTCACAACCTGGCGGCCTCGTTCCAATATGGCCTCAATGCCACTATCTCACTACCTTCAATCGGCGGTTTAAGCCTAGGCTCTTTGCCCTTGCGGGCACTGGTCGGTGCGCACTTCGCATTAAACACCAGCTCGTCAGACATCGTGCTGTCAGTTGGAGGTAGCTTCGATTTCGAAGGCCTAACGCGCAGCTTCGGCGACTTCACAGCTGACGTCAACATCTCAAGCGTAAGTGATCTCCTCAACGCCATCCTCAACAACATCGAGAGCAACGCCAGCCAGATATTCGGCGACCTGTTGAATGAAGCTGGCGCGTGGGCTGGTAAAGTCCAGCAGAATGTCATCACAGGTGTTGAGAACGTCGCAAGCGTCTTGCAAAATGCCTTTAATCAAGACGCCAACCAGGCAGCAGCTACTATGAAGGAGGCAGGTTTCGCCGCTGACACTATAGCCACCGGTCTGAAAACTGCCTATGGTTTGTCTGCTACCGCTGTCGCACAGACTATGCAGCAGGTCGGATTCGCTGCTCAGGAAGTGGCGTCGGCGCTGCAGAGCGCGTTTGGTAATGATGCTATGATGATAGCCTCGGCCATTCAGACGGCGTTTGGTTGGAGTGCTGACCAGATCAACGGCTTGTTGGGCCAGATTGGCTTCAGTGCTGATCAAATTGGCCAAGCTTTCCAACAACTCGGGGGAGAGTTTGAAGATATTGGGAATAAGATTCTGCATGGTCTTGACCCTTCGAACTGGCCAAATCCTTTCGGTGGCGGCGGCATCTTCGGTGGCGGCGGTATCTTTGGTGGTGGGTTTCCCTAGATGGCTGTTTGATCGATTCGCAAAGTTCGTTGATTTGAATGCAAGTGTCAGAATAGTATTGGTATTATGGTATACGCTGATGCCAACCCATCATGACTAGCTTTAGTAGCTGCAGATTTAATTTACTTTGAATGGTACTAGTTTAAACAACTGTTCGTTCCATAACAAATACCGATTGATTCCTTGGTAGAGTTCCTCACCATGCCAGTCCTACCGTTGCCTTCTCCATACCTAGCTGTCTCAAAGATTGTCTTTAAACAGCCACTGTGGAAGGTTGTATATGCTTCCCAGCATCTTTATCAATGCTCAGCCCATGGGGTGTCTGAATCTCACCATCCTCACTCGTTTCACTCAAACTACCCCGTCGGGCGAGTGCCTTTTCCCTACAAATTCATTAGTTCCATACCCATAGACTTCTTTGATCCAAACTTACCCATGACTACCATAAACAATACGAATGACCTGAGTCATAGCCACTAGAAGAACAACCATGACCGCTGAGTAGACGTAACCCTTCGGGAAGCGAGGTGCCTCGACAGTAGGATATACAAGAAGTGGTATCCAAGCTTGAGTTGACGTAGCTATAGCCGTCATCAGAATAAGCGTCAAGGCTCGCTCTTCGTTGTTATGTCGAAGAATGGTATTGGCCCAGCCATATAGAACCGACGAAACTGCAACGGCCGAGTAGCCCACACTGTAGGCATACCACTTTGCTGCTTCGGGAACGTTCCATATTGCCAGAATGACAAGACCAGTAAAGTTGATTACGGAAGCCAGTGTGATCGCTGCAGGTCTTCCGATCCAAAGATCGGCGCTGAAGTTGATGAAGAGGACAAAGAAAATCCCCAGGGCAGGACTGATGGATCCAAGCTGGTTCACTTTGGTAGTGTTGTAACGATCCAAGCTCTTGATCCAAAGGAGGAAAGCAGCTGAGTTGGCACTCGTGTTGAAGAACAGAATGTCCCAGAATACGAGGATATAGAACTGCCAACTCGTGAAGATGCGGCGGAGCAAAGTCCACGAAAAGGGTGTACTTCTGACCTTGGACCCATTGCGTTCCAGGCGGTCTTTTGCGAGGGCGATCTCGGACTTCTTCATGACCAAGCGATTGGGCTTATCGGGTGTCCCAGGCCAGAGGAAGTAGCCCACAAAAGCCAGCGGTAGCGTAATGATTGCGTTGATGATGAAGTTCCATCTCCAACCGGCAAGGCCATTGTGGCCATCGAGGTATTGCGTCGCAGCTCCTTGGAGAAGACCAGCAGTCATCGTCCCAAGAGTCAGCCCGATATAGAACAAACCGCCTCTTCTGCCAATCTCATCTGACCTGTACCAGCTACCGAGCACAAAATGAACTCCTGGGAAATATGATGCTTCAAAAATGGAGACCAGGAAACGATAGGCCATTATCTCTGCGTAGCTCGTGGCGCGATATTGAAGGAGGGTAAAGATGCCCCATCCTGGTCTCACGTCAGTGGTTAGTTGAACACGCCGTGATGGGAGACATACCAAGGTCAAGACTGGGCACTAGAATGTGCATCGGGACACGAGGGAAGAGATAGATGAACGGTAAAAGACCTACGACATTTCCAACGACGAATATTGTCTGGAACTGGACTAATTCGTTGCCGTGAAAGCCTAGATCTTCTGCCATGCCAGAGACGTAGGCATTATCTGATAAGGTCAGTACAAGATACCACGGGGAACGAAAGGCTGAGCTCACTGATATTGGTCTGATCGACATATTTGACCCAGTAGAGCACAAATGCGTAAGGGACGAGGAGAAGGTCGAGCTTCAAGATGAGCTTCTTTTCTTCAGGGGTGTCGGTTGGTGAGTACCAATGGTACCACTTCCTCGCCGATAGTTCAGACATATTCAATTTGTATATCATGCAAGTCTGCAAGGTCGGGGAAGAGGTCTCATTTATGCTCATCACTCATATGCCATGCACGGCACGGCCTGTACCAGAAAGCTGGGTCGCATCCTGGTCAAGTCGTCAGATATCCAGCAAGCACATCAACGTTAAGTCCGTGGGGTAGACCATCTATCTTTCTTACAAATAACGATAGGTTACATGCTTCCGATGGGGTTTTACGTCGATATCCAATACTATGGCTGGATCTAATCGGTTTTGTGGTTTAGTAGATGCTAGTTACGATGATGCCATCTCCAAGGGCATTGCGTGCGGCGAGGACTACCATACTCGGCATTAATAACCGCACAATCTCCGCTAGCGGAGAGGATCTGATGTAACGCCCAGTAATCCAAGAATTATTATTCGTATCAACAATTAGCTATCACTTGGTGAGTATCGTCCATAAATTCTAAACTCGTCTCCATGTCGCCATCCCATTTTATTGGCACATTAAACAGAAACAGCCCTAGCTACGCCTTGCATCTCAAAATTTCTCCCTCTTGATACTCATGGTCGTCTCTACCTTGTGGCGAGATACTGTCGCACCTTGTAAAAGGCAATGCCCAGAGCCCAGATGACAAGGATGACAATCGCTTGAGCGGGTGCAAAGATGGCTCCGCGGACAACCACAAATCCGCTCACCAACACAAATACGACTGGGTTGATTGAAAATGTCTTGTAAGGTCTCTCCAGATCAGGTTCGCGATATCGTAGGATGATAGCACCAAGAACCGTGAGGAAGAAGAAAGAGTACTCTCCCAAGCCGTTCAAGGTCAGAAGAGCTCTAAAGCTTCCAAAGAGGATATAGAATGATGCAAGTACAACTGAAAGAATGACGGCATTGATAGGTGCATCTCCAGCTTCTTTGGTAGACTCATTCTCGGACTCCTCGGTTTCTTCGGCATCAGGCTTAACGCCGACTCGGCCAACGATGGTGAAGAGACTGGGGATCCAAGCCTTTCTTGCTGCGGCGACGCACATACGGCTTGCGACGAATGAGTTGCCCAGTAAAGAGCCTGCAACGACCAGACAGATGAGGACAGCCGTGACGATACCAAAGCCCCGGCCCAGAAGACGGGTGAGAGCAGTGACGGCCACGCTGTCGGTAGTGCTGACGACGTCCCACGGGAGTAGAACGTAGTATCCTGCGTTGGCAGCAAGGAAGCAGATAATCGCTGTTGGAATTGAGGTGTTGATAGCAAGGGGGAGTTGCTTTGCAGGTTGTGACAGTTCAGCGGAAACATAGATGGCCTAGTCACGTCAGCGCAAGGCCATATGTAAGCAATCAGGAACTCACCTTGTCCCAACCAGAGTAAGCCCAAAGAGCGGCATACAACGCAGCAGAGTAATGTCCAAAGATCTCCCACTGACTCAACTTGCTCCAATCCGTATCCGGTCCATTCGGATTATACGTATCTCTGTACTCAAACCAATTCTTCTTAAACCAATCACCTCCCCCAGCTTCCTTATCAGGATGCGTGGCATGAACGCCGACGACAGCCAACGCGGCCATGACCACGACAAGAATACTCACGAACTTGAGAACCACGAAGAAGCCGTTGAGCCGAGTACTGGCTTTGGTGCTGATAGAGTTTGCGACGCTCATTACAATGAGAACGAGAATAGAGAGGAGTTTGTGCGATATACGGTGGTCTTCGTTTATGACGCCTGCAGCTGAGTAGGCGCTTTCAACGAAGACAATGGAGAGGATTGCGAGCGTTGCTGGCATGACGGTAACGATCCATGTCCACGCTGCGAGGAAACCCCAGACGTCGCCATATATATGCTGAAGATATGGCTGAACACCGCCTGTACGTCATTAGACAAACTGCACGAAAACAACTAGAATGAATCTCACCCTCGCCAGGAATAGCAGTCCCAAGCTCAGCAAACGTCGTAGCACCCGTCCAAGCCAAAACACCACCGATCAACCAAATAACCAGCGCCAATCCCGGCGACGGAACATTCGTATCAATCGAGCCAGGAGAAGTGAAAACACCACTTCCGATGACGATGCTGACGACTATACCGAAGGCTTCGACGGCGCCGAGATTGCGCGTAAAAGTACCCCGCGACGCGGCTGCATCGTGATCTGCTTGGCGATGCTCAGACAGGAGCGGCTGCTGACTCGCGTCTTCAGCGCGTTCTGAAGACATGTTGAGTTGGGGTTTTATGGGAGTGTTGTAGGGAGGATGGTGAAACAAGGGTGAGTCGATGCGTAGTGAGATGGAGTCATGACCCAGGATGGATCATGGGTCATTGCGTGACGCGACGGGTAATTATCGGCTATGACGTGATGAGTGTCTCGTCACCAGATCAACAATCCAGGCCAAAGAAACGTGGCAAATAAGGTCTATTTTAAGCTCAATATATATTTTTATTTCCGTCGTATATGTAGTTCAAATTGCTGTTGAAATGTCTGTAGTTTGGCTCTGGAAGCTCAACAGAAGCTTCGGTGTAAAATGCCCCGAGATGAAACACAGTCAATGCCACTTTGCAATCAAACAGCCCCAATTTCTCTTGGCAATTCGATGATCCTGAACAGATTCTCTCGTTTCAACAATTAAACATAGTAAACTCCTTGTTCTGAAACTCCATATTGAAACCGCTATAAACCGAACCATTAAAAGTCCACCAATCGAGCAACTTCGTCTCGCACGTCCCAGTTAAGCTTGAACCAAGCATAAAAACAAGATGATCGCCCAGAGTATCGTCCCGTTACTTCAGCTATCCTCATTCTTTTCATTCGTTTCTTATTTTTAGAATATCACTTTCATTTCTTCACTCGTTACAATGGGCCTCTTCAAGTCTGCGACTATTACCCTCCTCGCCGCTGGCGCTCACGCCCTCCCCCAGGCCGTGACCCAGACAGCTGATGCCCCGGCGGCAGCAGAGACATACACCGCGAATCCCAACATCGGCCCTGGCGGCTCCAACTTCAAGGATTCAGCGCACTTCCGCATCTACGCCGGTTCCGCCGATGCCACCGCCCAAGCGATCGACATGCTCGAAGCAGCATACGAATGCTTCGTCGGAACGTTAAAGTGGCGATCGCCTGGTCTTTCGTTCAACGATGAGACTGATTCTGGACCCAAGTATAAAACTAACGTCTACACTGTTGGTGACTTGGGCAATGCGGCGGGTGTGATGCATAGTGATCAGGCAACGGGCATGGCGTATCTTGAGGTCGTTGATCAGTACCTTGCCGTTCCGGGTGTTACCGTTCATGAGTACGGTCATGGAATGCATTATCATCAGAAAGCTTGGGTTGATCAGGGTCGAACTGGTGCTTGGTGGGAGACTCTCGCCAACTGGGTGGCTGATACATACAAGACCTCCGACATTTGCGCACCTGCGCGAAAGAACCATAATCAGGAGACTGCGCCCACCGAGATCGAGCTTAAGAAGGTCCTCGGTGACTCTCACCAGGTCATCGTCGATGGATCCGTTGATACTGGTAATTACTACCAAGCTTGGCCGTTCCTGGCTTACTTGACCTACAATCCTGATGACTTTACTGGTCTGGGCCAAGACACCATTCGACAGCTTCAATTGCAGTACGAGAAGGACAGCAACGAGACTCCTCTTCACACTCTTGCTCGCGTTTCGCAGAACGCTACTGTTGGTGATATCGTCGGTCGCTACTGGGCTCGCATGGCCTACGTTGACATCGGCCATCCAACCGCCCAGGAAGTTTTCTTCCAGCAACGCGCTGATATCCCCTTCGCCAGCATGGAAGCTGCCGGAACGGGATCCTACAAGCCCAAAGCTGATCGTCAACCTCGCTACATGGGCGCCAACATCATTCCTCTCGATGTCACGGGTACTTCACTCGAGGTCAAGGTTTCCGCTGATGCTGAGTTCGTCGCCACTGTTGCTATCTACCGTGAGGCTGGCAAGTCTTCTTACGTTACGCTCAAGAATGGAGCTGGTACTGTTCCTGTTCAGGCTGGTGATGATGTCAGTGTTGTTGTTGCCAATGCCCCTGCTAAGCCTATCCTGTACGACGGCTTTGATCTGAGTGCTGAGGTATCTAAGGGTCTTGATTACACTATCAGCATTACTGGTGCTACTGTCAAGGCCTAAGCTCTTGAAGAGTGTTTTGTTCCTGTATATAGAGTTTACACTGTAGAGCAGTTAATATTGAATGGCAAGATGAGGCCTAGATGCCCATGTTATGCAAATGATTCCATCAGTCAATCTGTCCCTTCTCAAGGCGCTCAAGAAGACTGTACAGCGTACGAGAATGCATCTGGAAGAGCCCTCTTCTCTATACCCCCGTTCTCTAAGCTGATATCAGAAGTACTATCGGATTGAACTCAACTTAGAGGTATCCTAGCCAATCCACATCTTCCCAAACTAAATCTGTACCGAGATAGTCAAGTATAAAAGAATCCAGCCCTTCAGGTAATGGGGAGGCAGTGGTTTCCTCTGCACCCTTCGTATTATCTAACAGACCTTGAAGAAGCTTTCGACTGCGAGTGCAACCAGCGTCAAGCGGCTCCATCTGTGCGAATAGTTCAATCGCTTGACAAAGGGATCCATAGCACTCCAAATTATCTGCTTCTTGTTTGTCGGATATCAGCCCCAGGACGAGGACCAATGCCACCTGAAAAACGTTCCAAGCGCTGTTCCAACAAAGGAACTGGTTCGGAACCCAATCCAGGACCATCAGATCAACTCCCTCCTTTGCAACCTGAATACATTTTCGTGCATGTGCTGCTTCACGTGTATTGTCTTGACCCCATGGCTTCTGACGCAGCGCTGTGATCAATAAGCCAGGACGGTAAAGTGTGAGTCGAGTTGTGATCCATCGCCACCAAAGAATCGCTCGCGCAGTATTAACACTTGGCGGACATTGCTCACGGTGAGCCAGAAACATGTGTAACGAGTCTTTCCAGGCAATGAGCTCGCGGTCGAATTCGTCAACTTCGTCGGGGCTGATCAGAGGTAATCGGGCGAGTCGCTGTTGTACACGAGTAGCAATCCGACAGAACCTTTCACTGGCGGCGAGGGATATGGTTCCGTAATCCTAGGATGCAGCAATGCGTCTTAGCAAAGGCATCCAAAAAGGCGGTCCGTGTGACTTACCAGATCTTGGAGGGCTGACATGGGTGAGGTCAGTGTTATAGCTGGGTCCCAATATCCGTGACTGGGGCGCCCTAAAGTGGACGAGGCCCATGTATCCAGACACAGAATAGACCACCAAGTACGTATCCGCGTGGCTGTTGAGCCATTAGCGGGATGGCAAGCTGCATTCGTAGAGGACTGCGAAGCCTGAACTCTATGCAAGCCCATTGCCACGGCCATCTGTAGGGTCGCTCCCATGACAGCAACTGCCATGTTCGGTTTGTTGAGAAAGTGAAGAACCATTCCACTATACAGAGCCAATGCTTGGACCATGTATAGATGGCCGGAACCAAAAGAGTTGATGTTTATATGAGGCAGAGCTCGCTTGTAAAAGTGGTTGTGCGCGTTGAAGTGCATCGAGTCTGATGCCATTGAGCCCATAGCAAGTACCATATTCATCAGAGCGAGCCATGGACCAGCTTCATCGTCTTCCGTATTGGATTGAAGATACCGCTGACGAAAGTCGGCTTCGTCAACCATTGGAATGACGGGATGCACGTGGCTGAAGTAGGCGTTTATAAGCGGTATCTCATCTATTTGCAGGCAGGCCATGTCGCCCGGGCTAGCAGCTAGGGTTGATGGACTCCGCCATGCTTCGGAGCCTTTGGGAACTCGTTGTTGGACATGAGGAGAGAGATGGGCGATGACTTTGAGTATAGTAGGGACCGAGGATATACCCAAGTATGAAGCGTTGAGGGATTGTCGTGAGAAGGCAAGTCCGTTGACATCGTCTGCTACGCGGGACGTCTCGCTTTCGGTCTCGGATACTTCATCCCAAGTGAAGTTTTGTTCCACAGACGGTTCTAAAACCTGCAGATGATCCTGCGGCTCGGTCTCGGTAGCAGGTGGGGGTGCCTTGGAAGCTTGCAGTCGTATCAGCAACTGCTGGCGGGTCATGCAGGAGAGTTCCTCAAGTGAGCTGGAGGGGAACAACGCTTCGATGACCTTCCGGGCCTTGGCGTAACTCTCGGTAAGTTCGGCGTGAGATCTGTTAGTTCACCGTCAGAGCAGGCACCCCCACTTGTTCAGGTACGCGCGCTTACTTTATAGATACATTGTGTCTCTTTTTCCTAGCAGGATAATGGCAGAGATGTGGAACGAGATAGTAGACGCATTGCCGACAGGGAAATGTCTGGCCTTCGCACTTGACTCGACGGCGTCTGCATTCGGCGCAGGATGAATTGGCCCGGGGCTGTCGGCCGGTTGTCTCGGCGACAAAAGGGAGTTCCATGGTTGACATTTTGCCCCAGATTCAATGAGAAGAGTTCCAGGTGGTGATAAGAGACATGAACGGCAAAGTAGAGACCTTTTGTCAACGGATTAGAGGCTTGGGCTTAGAGCTGGCTGGGGATAGAGTGAGCATCGCGGGCGCAACAAGCTTAGGCAACAGTTTAAGTCGGGAGTTGGTGGCGTACCGCCGGCACCAATGAGGCGTTTTGCTATACACGAGCCTGTTTCAGAACTCGGGACATCAAGGTAAGGCAGATAGCATCCACTATTCGGATCCGAACTTCACGGATACTCTCGATAGTTAGTGGTGATCATCTGCCGCTTGACAAAGAAAGAGTACCGAAATAAATCACAAATCCTTCTAAATAAAGTTTGATCACCAAGAAGGCTCCAGCTACATGAGAAACCTCGGCAGTGTCTCGCCATGAAGAAGCTATACCGAAGGGGGAAAGCCATCGGAGCCGCCTATTGGTGGTGCTAGTCAGGAAATACAGAATTCCGTCTTAGCTCACGGCATGTCCGAAGCTAGCTTATTATAGAGCTGTATATACCGGATGTTCTCCTACTATTTCTAGCCAAAAAACTTATAAAGAACTTAGATTGAAGCCGATAATTTAATAGCTGCCGCCGTTGTTTTAATTTGATTGCAGTTACTCAGCATCCGAAACTTAGAACGATTTCTATTTGGGTCCAGGTGAAAAAGACGCTACAAGCCAGGATGCAGTAGGGTAAGCCATAGAAAACATCAATGTTATTTACGAACGAGTACAGTTACTATCCAGGTCACCCTTCTCTTGCATAAACTGGCTCTCCCTGAAGCCCTTCATTTGTCTCCAAAAAAGAATTGACTGGAAAATCTAGATCATTCAATGAGGATTGGGCCTCGGCTTTGTTGGGATGATAAGCCCGTAAAGATTGGTCGCATGTCCAAAAGTGCTCACCGATTGGTTTGACATCAACCTCCTTTAGATCAACGTTTGGGTCTTGTAACACAGAAACTACCCGCGAGTATTTGGTGATCGTGAAACACATGAGGTGTGTCCTATTACCTGTTATTTTGATGCGTCCAGGTGGAAAACTGTCGGGGCATTGTCCAGGTACCAACGCCAAATCATAATGTTTCAGTTTTCAGCCCGAAGCCAGATCCATGATATGTGTTTCAGTCCCCACCGTATCAAACCAATGGAGAGTATAGAAAGCGGGAATGAAAGCACGCTTAAGTGGTGTGTTTTGAGTGGCATTGGGGTCTAAAACGATTCTCCAATACCACCTCGTTTCCTCTCATGATCACCGCTCAAAAGCCCCAATCGCGTACAACCTGCGTCAACATGCCACGTTACATTGGTTTCTCACACATCAGTGGCCATCATATCATTCCACCACCAACAAACCACACAGGATAATGCAACCCTCTACCACGTATATTCCGACTCTTTGGGGTCACGGGCTAATGCGGCAGTTCGGAAATCTGTAACCCCGTCCTAGTGCGGGTCCACACCATCGTGAGATCACTACCGCTTCGAGTCTTCCCCGCATGCCCGTCCTCTAATGTTATAAGAAGTAGTTACAGTTGCAATGTATATCTCCAGAAGATCGGCCTGTAGTATCCACACTCTTAACTTTATCATTCAATCACTCAACCTTCACTATGTCTAAAGAGCTTGACCAGTCTCACAGTGAGCATGTTCATGATGCCAATAACGAAAAGAAAGAAGCAGTGCAGACCCCAGACGCCATCGCGACCGCGCTCAACAATGTAGGAGCTCCATCGCCATGGGGCAAAGGCCATCTCAAGCTGTACATGGCTTGTGCGCTCATCTACCTCTGTTCGACCATGAATGGCTACGACGGCTCGCTCATGGGTTCGATTAATGTTCTCTCAGAGTATCAGGAATACTACGGGCTGGGTGATACTGGGTCAACCTCAACTGGCTTGGTGTTCTCCATATTCCAGATCGGACAGATGGCGGGCGCTTTATTCACCTGGATATGCGACTGGAGGGGCCGCAAATTGACACTCGCCGTCAGCTCGTTCCTCATCTGTGTATCTGCTATCTTCACTGCAGTGGCCCCGACTTTGTCTTCGTTTATCGCCGCGCGATTCCTCCTCAGCTTCTTTTCGACCATCAACACCGTCGCTGCGCCGATGCTTCTCGTCGAGATTGCTCCTCCTCTACAACGAGCTACGGTTGCAGGAACATATAACACTTTATACTATATGGGAAGCATCATCGCCACATTCAGTATGGTTACCCAGTATCTAACTCAGATTGACCAATCTCGCTTACTATATGCTAGCAATGTACGGTGCCAACATCCATTTGAGCGGCAACATCAAGTGGCGTCTTCCCCTCTGGCTGCAGATGCTCTGTCCCGGACTCGTCTGCCTCGGTAGCTGGATGTTGCCCGAGAGTCCGAGATGGCAGGTCGCTCAAGGAAGAATCGAAGCAGCCCGCGAGTTCATTATCAATCATCACGCAAACGGCGACGCAGATCACCCGATTGTCGCCATTGAAATGCAAGAGATTGAGGATTCACTTGTTGAGGTTCGAGGCCGTTCCCAGTGGGCTTGCTTCGATCTACGAAGCCTTTACAAGTCTCGCGCTCGCCGATATCGAATTATGCTCGTCATAGCCATGTCTTGGTTTGGTCAGTTCTCCGGCAACAACGTTTCGAGTTACTACCTCCCATTGATGGTCGAGAATGTCGGAATAACCTCTACGAACATGGTCCTTTTGTTGAATGCGTTCTATGCACTCTCCGGGTGGGTGGCTGCTACAATTGGAGGTACGTAAAGTTCACAAATAATCGTGGCAACTTGTTTAGCTCACAATCATGCATGAAGCTCGTCTACACGATATTGTTGGAAGACGCAAGATGCTGATGGGCTCGTGTCTGAGCATGTCTATTGCGCTCGCTATTGTTGCTGCCACTGCAGCAGAGTATGAGCGATCTGGTAGCACACCTTCAAGCTCAGCAAGCATTGCGTTTATCTTCATTTTTGGCGTTGTCTTTGCCGTCGGATTCACTCCAATGCAGCCCATCTATCCAGCAGAGGTTTTAGCTAGTGAGTTTCCTACTCTTTGGTATGATCTATCACTAACACAGACAGATGATATGCGAGCCAACGGTATGATGGTCTTTATGATAACCTCCGGTTGCGCAGGTTTCGTCAATACTTTCGCAGCTCCGGTCGCTATGAAGAACATTCGGTACTGGTTGTAAGTACATCTTTGAAGCCACCCTATAAAGAATGCCCCTAATTAACAACCTCTGTTACAGCTACGTATTTTTTGTGTTCTGGGATCTCTTTGAGTTTACCTTTATCTACTTTTTCTTTGTCGAGACCAAGGGCCGGACATTGGAGGAACTCACTGCTGTTTTCGCTGCCAAGAACCCACGCAAAGCGAGTACCCGACGGATCTCAGAGCCTGACTGTTAGATAATTCACAATGATCGGCTCTCTGGGAGGCTGAATCATGAATCCGAGAGCTATAGTATTAGTGTATCTAGCACATATGCCAACGAAAACTATGTAAGAACACCTGTACATCAGTGGGTGATATTATCTGTGAGGCGCCAACGGGGCAAGAAGTGAATGGCAAATTTAGGATATCATACTGATCAGTAGTTCTCCCTGCGAACAAGCCCTTCCAACGTCTGCTATATGGGACCTTGTAGTTCATAGATAGATGATGGTACTTAGATCATGATCTCTCTAGTTCTGGTTAGGGCAATATAATGAGCTCGCTTTGCTTACTCTTACGATATTACGATCGGTCAAAGCAGAAACTACAGGGTAGCAAAAGCTAATGATTAAAGTTTATCCTTAAACATGTTTCTTTTTATTAAGGGTTAATGAGAATAAGGAGATCATGGCGAATATGGTGCTAGTGGCCCATGAGCACTAAGCCGGACTTCCATATTCGCGCCCAAGTTGCTTCCAACAGCCGATTGATCCTTGTCCCGGCAGACCAGATTTGAACTCCGAGACTCTGTTACACGCTAGAATGATATTTTATAATTCCGTTCAGGGCCATCCGAAAGCCAACAGTGCATACTGCTCGCTAATACCCCGCGATCTGCGAACAGAAGTCAAAATCCGGGGAAGATCTGAAGGTCACGATGTCAAGTTGATCGATTCGTGAACGGAAGAAGCAAGGGTCTACACCTTCCGATGCTTAATTAGGATCTAATAACCAACATCACAACCCTCTGCCGCAGTCCACCCCGGTATTCCCGGCTCCGCACCTATGGATATCACCTATGGATATCACCTAGTGCGTTAGCTTGTCGCAAATAGATTTGGACGCTGGGACCAAGCTCGGGTCGTTTCTTTGACCCTTGGGCCAATGTAACCTTCAGGAGCTGGTGACGTCCATACTATAGTCAAGTTTTCCTATATAAGATAAGATTACGACCCTTTAGGCTTCCAAGATCAGCACCTTCAAAAGACTCTAATCATACCGAACTATCCCTCGCATCTTACATCAATGAAGAGCTTCAGCTTTCTCGCATTGGGTCAAGCCCTGCTTGCGGTAGCCACTCCCCATGGCTCCAAGCTCCCCGCTCGCCAACAAGGTAATAGCTTCGCCGGCGTAAACTCCTACTTCCTCCATGCCTTCAAGCAGTAAGATCTATCTATTTCATGCATCATTGATAATACAACTGACATCCGTACAGGCAGGACAGATTGGACGTCCTGGACGCCATCAAAGATGCAAATCTCAAGGTCCTACGAATCTTCATTTCACCAACCGGCCAGAACGCCAAAAACACCGGCTCAATTGCGATGCCTGACATTGAGCCTCAAACCGTGGGTGTCTGGGACGATACTCAGCTCAAAGCCATCGATCAACTGATGGTAGAAGCTCAAGCCAGAGGTATCAAGCTCACCATCGCAATCCATGATCGTTATCAGCTTGGGTGCTGGGGAAGCGATGCTTATGTGACAAAGTACAAGCTTCCTGCAGTAGACTGCAACATTCAGCCTGCTAGTGCCAACAATGTCGAGTTCTGGTATTCTGACAAGAACTGTATTTCGGATTTTCAGAATCGCATCCGTCATGTCCTTGAACATAAGAACACACTGATCAGCGGTAGTCCAGCTTGGAAAGACCTGAACAGCCATATCTTTGCGTTCAATATCCAGAACGAAGGGCAGGGCCATTTGAACAACAATATCCCACCTCATCCGTCGTGGTGGTGCGATCGAGCTGGCTTCATGCGGGGTATCATGGGTAGCAGCAAGGTTCTGATCTCCACTGGTAAGTCATCACGCACACAGAATTCTCAATTCCATCGCTAACGCAAGATCGTAGGTGGCGGTAATGAATTTCCCAACTCAGATATCCCGGAGAACTGGGCCTGCAAGGCCTTGGACCTCGTCACCATCCACTCCTACAGTGGCGTCAACGAATTCAAGAACAAGGGTCCAGTTGCGCTGCAGCACGCCAAGAGCGCCAACAAGCTCATGCTCTTTGAGGAGTTTGGTGCTACTGGGAGCAGCAAGGCTACCACTGTCGGGCAGCATATTGACGTGTTTAATGGTCTCGGTGTGCCGTGGATGCCGTGGCAGATCAGCAAGCCTGGCAACAAGGCGAATGATTATGAGTTTTGGACTGATGAGCCTACCTATGATGTCGTTGAGGATGGTTCGAATGATGCTTTGGCAAAGAGCGCTGCACAGACTTGGTCTATCTAGAACCTGTGAGGAGCATTAAGCCTGCTCCAATGGAATGGCCAAGGGAAATATTATCCTTTATGGCTTGGGCGATGTTCGATATCCTGGAGTCAATGTAGTTGTATATCAGAATACGTAACATTCAGATGAGCTGAAGGGAGGAACGCCTAGTGTCATATTGACATCAATTCATTGTTCTCAACTTTCACCTTGGCAGAATTCCCCATCCACAAACTCCGCAACACGTCTTCAGCAGTCCCGGTCAACAAAGAAGCCTCAATTATGTCATCGCCTGCCTCTCCAAATACTATAACTGCAGACATCTCACCAGCAGCGACCGCACCGGTGATACTGATGGCACTCTCGGCGAAAGCGTTTTCTCCATGACGTCTGATTTCTGCGGCATAGAAAAGGTCAGCTGTTACAAGAGCCGCGATATCTTTTAAATGTATAAGAATTTGAGTAATAGACAGACAATCGAGACTTGCTGCTAAGCTGGTGGAAACGTCGTTGGTATTACTGAGGGTTATACGGCTGTCGCTTGGAGGCATGAACCATTTTCGCATCCATGTTTGTAGCAAGAAAGGCCACGAGTATGGATGTTTTGATGGCCAGCTACATTCTGACAATAAGGCCTCCTCAATCCTCTCCAAGTCATCAGTTTTAGTCTCGTCAATTTTGGCGTCCTCGACGTCTCGATTGTATATGCACCTTCAGTCTTCATGTTCGATCCGTCAATGACCATAGAGAAATGCCTAGCTCAGTTTGCTCCAACTCTCCGTTTCCAAGTTCAACCAACACGGAGGAACCGATTTTACTATATGGAACTACGGCGTGGACTTTACTCTAGTTCTCTTCCAATTAAAATTGCAGTCAATGGCTAATAGCTATTTTCGTGAAAGCTCGTATGGGGTCCAATTATCTTGGAAGCCCGCAACAAGCTAAGGAGCGTGGCGTCAATAGCCAAGTATTCCAGCCTTATAGCTCAACACGATGCCATTTTGTAGCTAGTGTACCGGTCGATCGGCACCAAAAGCTAATAGTCTCTCACTAGGATCCAATGGTTCCAGATTTACGAAATTACAAGCCCCTTACCCACTATCTATAAACAAAGATCTGTTCCCCAGTCTTGGCACTGCTATTCATCACAACCGTTCACTCGTTTCTTCGCTGACCCCATTCACTCGTTTGCATGATGCGTTTCTCACTAAAGACCTTGTCCCTTCTCGTGCTCTCGTCCCAGGCCGGTTTCGCCCTCGCGGGACTCTGCAAACCATCGACGACTACAACAGCGGCTGCGACCACCACCACCTCCTCTGTCCCCGAAGGAACCCCCATCGACGCAGTCTTCTCCGATGGGAGCGTGGTCAACACCTATCTCAACGACGTGTATCTCAGCGACCAAGGAGATACCCCCGCAACCTTCATCCTCGAGCCGACAACCGGTCGCCTCACCACAAACATTGGTGGCATCACATACTACCTGCAAACCGTTATCCCGCTTGGCCCTGCACTCTCATTCCAGTTTGATACCTATCAAAACATTGTGAACAATCAGTACCGTTACTTTGTCAAATGCGACGTCGTCGCGGGCTTTCTGTCATGCGCTTCTGAGAGTGGCTCGACACCTATTTATTGGCACATTGAGAGCAACAACATTTTCTATGGCAATCAGAACATACTCACTGGCGTCACTACTGCCCAGTTCAGGTTCCAGTAGAGTGGGCTATAACGCGACTTGTGTCGAAACGCTTGCCTAGCAATTGGTGATGTGTGGAGGAACACATGGGCACTGGTGCGCTGTACAGGGGAATGAAGGCCGTTCATCGGTTAGGGCTTTTGAGTCAGAATTATTTCTCATTCATTGTATATAATTCAGGAAGTAATGTCGCTGCTTCAATAAGTGACTGCGCTTCTCCTTTCTCGCTTGCATTTTCTCTTTAGAGTCGAGAGCTATCTGGGACTCATAGGCCCTGGATTCTCAGTCAACTCTGTCCTCTAATCGTCCGTTTCCATCATTTCCTCCTCCGTTTCCACCATTTCCTCCTCCGTTTCCGACGTTTCGGGTTTCTTATCACGGTAAATAAGCCAGCCGATCGTAGGCTGATGACGATATCCACGGAAAGTTGCTGGGTTAACAATACCTGACTCGTTGCGGGAATGCGCGAGTAAACCTCCAACCACAGTACAGTCCATGGAACCCTGACCAAAGTCGACTCGAATAGGTATCGTTGCAACAGCAGAAGGCATTTCAACATCGAATTCGAAACCTCCCCTTTGTATAAGTTTCCGCGGGTCGAAGAAGTTAAAAAGCCAACCACTCATCCGTCCGAAGCTGTCTGCTTTCAGCATATCATCCCAGAATTCCCCCTATGGTCCAGGGTTTAGCACATCGATTACAATGTGAGTGGTCGGAAAGTGGGAAAAGCTACCAACTCGTAGCAAGTTGTCCAGAAACATCAAATGATGTGATATCGCAACCCCCAGTTCCGGGGACAGGTTTCTGAGATCCTCGAAATTTCTCCGCAGTTTGTACCAGTCCTCTCTACCTCCCGCGATAATAATAGCCCCGCGATTGTAAGCCGCCACGGGCATGTTGAATTTCCGATGGTGTTGAACTTGGCAATTTGTGCCGAGTAGTATGAGAGCGGCCGCCCCGGTTTCCGATTCCGCTGTGGTGCTGAAACGGGGAAGAAGAAGCTTCGCGGCCTCAAGACCAAACTTTTTTAAAACCATATCGCATAAGCTATTCACTAAAGCTTTTTTGTCTCTGAGTTGTTCGTTCAAAAAGCTCGGGATCTCCTGTGTTTGCCGAGGTTGAAAGACTTGATAGATGTAGGATTTCAGCTGTGCAAGAACAGCAAGCCAGATATGATCCACCGAAAAGATAAGTCCAGATTGCCTGTCGAAGACATCTGCTGCAGCCCAGATGAATCCATTCTGAGAGGCCACGATTTGGGAAGGGTCACCCTCGAGGTGAAGATTGAATACGCCATCACTTTTTTTGTAGTCGTCGGGAGATATCCGTTGGAGGATTTCAGCTCCGCGTATCGCGGCGACTTTGGGATCGTTGAGGTTCGTTGTTTGTATTGGCGTATCCATCATCGCCATGTTGGATATGTGTTTAAGTGGAAAGATGGTTGAAAGTGCTTTGTTCGGTATTGTTCTGGTGCGTTATTGATGACGGGGATGATGAGATGATGAGAGAGGGAGAAAGATTGCGGGAGTGACTGGAGAAAGAAACTTTGAGTACGTTGTTCCATCAGAGGGGCAAAAGAAGTATCGTGCTTTCCATTTCGACAGGACATCGAGAAGAAATCTGGTGTTTGTAGAAAGCGCTGGCTCAACTTCTTTCTCACCTCTGATCGACCCATCAGCCTGACAGGCAAGCGTACCTGCATTCTGATCGTAAGCTTTTGACGCCAGCGGAAGGAGGTAATCGCAGTTCAGCTTCATGATGGCCAAGACCATTCCTTTCGGCTGCGCATTATTCGTAAGTTGGTGCAAAAAGAATACCAGATGCTGCTGCGGGAGGTCAAAAATTGGTGTTTTGGTGGAGTCTAACCACCTGCGTTGGACGAACAGGGAATCGAACCCTGGACCACTCCCAGATGCGAGCATCTGATGGACGAAACTTGCTAAGGGAGTATTATACCACTAAACCATTCGCCCGGACTTGTTGAGCGGCTGTGTCAAATTACTGTCTAGATCGTGCGCGCAATCCTGGTGCTGTGGAAATTGATCGGCCATCGCGAATCCCTTCTGTTGTCTGGAGCAGTAGCCAATTAAGTTTACAGTGATGATGTTGGTCTTTTGAGTTTTTTCTGGAGATTGAGTTTTCCAATGGGTTGAAAATTCGGGCGCGAGAGTTTGTGGCTGAGTTTTGATGGCTTGCACCGTTGCAACAGTGATTTTTCAAAGATCAAACAACATCACCAAATAGTTATATACTTCAGCCCAAAGCTTTTACAATCAACAAATAATCAATAAAAGTCTACCAAATAAATACAAAAACTTGTCTATAAACTTTTCCCCTCACTGCGCAGCAACCATCGCTGCAGCAGGCTTGACCTCAACCTCAACCTCATCAATCTCCATCTGCAGGGTAATCTTCTCCCAAACCGCCGAGTTACCCAACTCCTCAAACGTATCCTCCACCACCCTCGCCGTCCTCTCCACAATCTCATCAACATCCTCCTTCGTCACGATAAAAGGCGGGCAGATCAGAAAATGATCTCCACTGTACCCATCATACCCTCCGTTGGCGTTGAACAGCGCGATTTCGTACCCAGCGCTCATTCCGCGCGAGTGCAGCAGGCCGTTGAGCCCGAGATCATACGGGAACGGGGTCTTGCTCTTTTTGTTGGTCACGAACTCAACGGTCCAGAAGAGTCCACGCCCGCGGATGTCGCCGACGTATGGCATCGGTAGGAGGCGCTCTTTGAGCTTGGTGCCGAGATAGGCGCCCATTGAGTCGACGTGGGAGAGCATGTTTTCGTCGCGGATGATTTGTTGGACTTTGAGGGCGGCGGCGGCGGCTTGGGGATGGGCCATGTAGGTTTGACCGTGGGCGAAGCCCTTGCCGCTCTTTTGGAACGACTCGACGAGCTTGGAGTTGATCATGACTGCAGAGACAGGAGCGTATCCCGCACCAAGACCCTTACCAACGACGAGAATATCAGGAACGACATCTTCCTGCTCCCAGGCGTGAAGAGTACCGGTACGACCCATTCCGCACATGACTTCGTCAAGAATGAGAAGAGCGTTATACTTCTCGCAAACAGCCTTCATAGCAGGGAAATATCCCTTCAACGGCATAGCACAACCGCTCGCCTACGAAATCAGATCAGACCATATCCAAGACAGAGATAACGGATGACTTACACTTCCTCCAACAGTCTCAGCCACAAAAGCGCAGACCTTCTCCGGACCAATTCTCAAAAACTCATCATCGAGCTCTTGCGCAAGACGCGCAACGTACGCCTCGTCGTCTTCACCGTCGCGCTGTCCTCTGTACGAACTACACGCCGATACGCGCGAAGAATTCTGCGAGATCAACTGCACGAATGGATCTTTTCGCACTTTGAAGTCGCCCAGCGTCAGCGCACCGAGCGTAGCGCCGTGCCATGCTCCCACGCGAGCAATGAAGTGGCTTCGCTCAGTCTGAGGGATAGCGAGGTGCGCAAAGTGCGTTTTCGCAAGCTTGAGCGCGACTTCGACGGCTTCGGATCCTAAGCATCAATTAGCACCCGTCATTCACACGACAAAATTTTAGAGGCTTACCTGATCCGCAAAGAACAGCCTTGGACATTTGACCGTTCGTAGACTCGACGAGGAAGTCTGCAAGATCTTCCGCTGCCTGCGTTTTATAGAAACCAGGATGACAGTACGGGACATTCACGAGCTGCTCTGCAACAGCTTTCTGAACGTCCTTGTTGTCATAGCCCAGACATGCTACAGCCGCTCCGCTCGTAGCGTCGAGAATCTTGCGTCCATCGCTAGTATTCAGATAGATCCCCTCGGTCGACTCAATAAGAGCCGCGGGATGTTTCTGAAAGTTTTTGTAAAGAAGACTGTTTGTAGGCGCCATGATGTGATGCTGGAATGTTGATGATTTGAAAATTCCATTGTGTCGCGTGCCTTTCTTCTTATATACCTCGATAATATCAGAGATGTGTTCTTTGCTCTCCTAGCTCTTGTCAATCATTGATAGACGAACGCGAAAATGTTTCGATAAGCCTTAGTCTCCGACGTGGCTGACCAATATTACCAGGTATGTATGTAGTGTAATGATATTATGATCCTTTCTGACGGGCCGCATGTGCTAGGGTCACAGCAAGAAACAAGGCGGTGTCTCTTGGCCAGCCTCCAATCACTATCTCCATTCCCATTCTACGGCATGTTTTTGATCTACGTCAAGTATGAGACACGGGCCAAGAGACACTATTTGCTTCTGTCTCATTTCAGCCGCAGCCGCAGCGTCGATCTTTGCTGCTTACAGCCCGTCCTTGGGAAAAGCGGCACGGGCGGTTGCACCCAGAGGCACAGACAGCTACTTTAAGGCCTTTCCCATCTTTACTCCTCACATCCTTTTCACCATCTTTATCTCTTATTGGATATTCTTTGTTTATATCGCTTACTTTTTTAGATTTGTTGAACTGCCGAGAGTGGAGAATGGATGTCCCGTTCAAGGATGTGGTCTTTGATACGGCAGATCCTCATGGATCAGCCCTGTCGCTTCTTCCGCTCCTGTTCCCCGATCGGAAGATCGACGAGATGCGTGTTTCCGCTTTGACTCAGGGCACGACAAATGGCGTGAGTATTGCCTCATACAGATCTCCCCTCTACCAAGTACACGGAACTTTTTCGCTAAAAAGCAAAATTGGCAGCTTTACAAGGTTACCGTCGATGCAAGCACGGCAGATGGAGTGCTGATCAAGGTCTACGGAGATGGAACGGACATCACCATTGATCGCGAGAGTACGTACCAATCCCTCCAATGCCCTGCTCCCCGAGACTCTGTCAATCTCGTCTGGAACTTCCGTCTTGGATTCTTGTCTGACGTGACATGTCGCGACAGAGGAACTCAGGGTGCACAAGCTCCTGGCTGAGCGTCAACTGTCTTCATCTCCACTGGTCCGCTTCAGCAATGGACATGCGTATCAGTTCATCTCTGGACGAGTCTGCTCTGAAGGCGACATGTCTGAGACCAGAATTTTCCGCGGCGTTGCGAGGGAGCTTGCTCGGTGGCACGCGACCCTTCCTACAGCGGACCCTGAGGACGTCTTGACCTACAAACCGGGCGTTTGGTCCACCGCGAAGAAATGGCTGGATGCTATCTCCAAACATCCTCACCGATCACAGGCCGAAATTGATGATTTGCATGAAAAGTTCAAGTATCTAGCCGATGCCTTGTTGCCGACTGACGTGTCAGAGCCCTTGGTGCGTCGTTGCATGTATTTTGCTTGTCTGTCACTAACCCGCACAGGTTCTCGCTCACGGCGACCTTTTGTGCGCAAACATAATTGTACAAGAGTCGGGTGATGGCATTGATGTCGCATCAGTTCGGTTCATTGATTACGAGTATGTCATACCCTGCTCTGCAAATGTCCCCAGACCAGAGACACTGAACCACCTGCAGACACGCCACATACTGTCCTCGGGCCTTTGAACTAGCAAATCATTTCGCTGAATGGACCGGCTTCGACTGCGACTACACTCTGCTCCCCAAGACATCAACCCGACGGGCCTTCATCGCAGAATATCTCACGACCCACGCCGAACTCTGTCGGGAGCACAACATAGACGTCCCGACTGTCGATGATGCTGCTGTGGATAATCTAATGCGTCAGGTCGATGATCACAGAGGTTTTCCAGGGTTCTACTGGTAAGTCGCCATACTGTCTCACAGGCAGATACGTGTGTGGTGGTACAGGACAAGACACTGATTACACCGCTGCGACAGGGGTCTCTGCGCTCTCATCCAGGCTGAGACAGCGACCGGAACTATTGATTTCGACTACGCGGGATATGCCGCGAAGCGCTTCGCAGAATACGAGGACTGGCGTAGTGTGCGGGAGGGAAATAGTCCGTCTCTGTCCATGAGGGAGAAAGCCTGGTCAATGCCGTAGACCTGACACCCCCACACTAAGGCATCAGCGGGCGAGACAAACATTCATCGCCTTAGACAGAATACGTACTATTACAAGTAGACAACACAAGAGAAAAAGTCAGACATCTACCTAAACTTGATTGGTCACACGCCGTGCAATGTATGACTCGTCTTGGCCAAAGGGAGCCTCTGGCACGCGCACAGCAGCACATGCTGGGTCATGATTCGTCTACGCACCAAGTCCCCTTTCAGAAGAGGCGCTTTTTTTTCGTTTCCCTTTTTTTTCGCCTGCCTCGGGGAGAGCTGACGCAAAAGCCAAGCCTAGCCCGATCGCATGATCTAGAACATGCATGGGCCGTGCGAGAGAAGATCGACCATGTCAAAACTGATGGGGAGAAAAGAGAGATATCGGAGAATTTAAAAATTCTGCTTAAATGAGGCGAACACTAGAACTGACCATATCAACCTCCTCTCCTCAGGGTTTCTTGGTCTTGTACATATCCCCTTTTTCTTCAGTGCTATCATGGCGGTAACTGGTCGTTTCCTCTCCAGCATCGGCGCCGATGTTCTGTGGCGGTCAAGCCGAGACCTGAAGATCCTTATCCTTCTCCGCTTCATCCGCCTCCTCGGCTATGGAGGCACGACGCTTGTTCTGGCGCTGTATCTCAACGCGCTGGGATTTCACGATGCACAGATCGGTCTTTTCATGACGCTGACGCTCGTGGGTGATCTTGCTATTAGCTTTATCCTCACTTGGGTCGGTGATCGTGTCGGCGTGAGGTTGACTGCTGTTGTTGGAGCGCTGTTGATGAGTGCTGGAGGCGTGGCGTTTGCGTACTTTGAGAATTTCTGGCTATTGCTTCTCGCGAGTATCGTTGCTGTTATTAATCCAAGGTATGTCTGCCCTTTCGTGAGAGTGAGTGAGGAGACTGACGGTGTAGTGCGAATGAGATTGATCCCTTCAAGGCAATTGAGGAATCAGCGATTGCCCGTCTCAGCACATCACATACATGCAATGACATGTTTGCATGGTGGTCTATGCTAGGCATGTTCGGCACAGCAGCAAGTAATCTCCTCACAGGCTGGCTCATCAACGCCCTCGAAGACAACGGCATGGAAAAGCTAGATTGCCACCGCATGATCTTCCTCGGCTACGCCGGTATCGGCCTCCTGAAGCTCATGTGTTCACTCCTCCTCAGCTCCGAAGTCGAGCAAATGCCCCTCCAAAAAGAAACCTGCTCAACACCCCAATCCGGCATCCTCACCCCCGAAGAAGAATTATCCGATGATGAGACTGCACCTCTTCTTGACGACAACAGCTCCGGCTACGGCGCCGTTCCCCAAACACAAGTCCAAGTCCTCGCCGCAGCACAGGAGAAGCGCCTCTTCACCCCAGCGTCGTTCGACTTCATGTGGAAGCTCTCGCTCGCGCTGATACTTGACTTCGTGGGCTCTGGCCTCGCACAGATCTCGTGGATGACATACTTCTTCAAGCGCGAGTACAACATGCCCGAGGGAGCGCTGGGCTCTGCGACCTTCACCGCCGGCATTATCTCCTCCGTGCTGAACCTCGCGTCGTCACCGCTGTCACGCGCCATCGGACAGGTGCAAACCATGGTGTTATGTCACACGGTAAACTCCATTTCACTGCTCATGGTGTCTGTGCCGGGGAATAAGTACATTGCGCTTGTGATTTTCATCTTTAGAATTGTTACGCGCGAGATTGATAATGCGCCTAGACAGGCGTTCATCTCAGCGGGGGTTTTGGACCATGAGAGGACTTCGGCTATGGGTGTTGTCAATATTACAAAGACGATTGGCAGTTGTCTTGGTTTGTACATCACGGGTTTGTTCGCGGGCTTGGATAAGTTCTGGCTTGCGTTCATTCTCGCTGGTGCACTTAAATTGTCCTACAATGTTTTGATCCTGGCATTCTTCTGGAAGAGGCGTTGAAAAGTATATCATTGTTGTTTTATGCATCGTTGTCACTGCATATCTTGTGTTTTTGCATCCTGCGTTAGTTAGATCTGGTCGAGTCCTGTACCTCGATGTCCCAATGGTAGTAAGACCTGTGCTCTACAAGTTTCACATCGTCTGTGCTCTGATAAGGCCCATTCCATTGATCAGGTTCCAGTCGTCATATCCACGACATGCGGCGATACCGCTCCGCCGTATCAACTTCATTTCGCGGACTCGGCCCATGCCGTACCGCTATATCAAATGCAATGAAACATATCTAGAACAGCTTAGGTGGCCTCAAACACATCTGCCGGCTGAACTCACCGTTCAACATGGCATGATTTTGTATCTGTACAAGGCATTGGATGCATCCCTGGATACTGCATCTGCGTCAATCCAATTACTTCTCACCACTGACTGAACTATTGATCTGACTTCCGCCGTCTGTGCATGCATATTGAGGTTCCCTTGCTGATCTACTTCAGCTAAATTGGGCCGAAAGTGGCTTGCTGACATCCCCCATTAAGGATGTGATTGATGCCATGCACTCATCCCCTCGATATCACATTCGTAAGCTCCAAATTGGTATATCCTCCTCAATTCTGTCTTACATGGTGTGCACCTATAATACCCTCAGGGTCTCTCTCATCTCTCATCTTCTTCCCTCATCCAATCTCAAAGCGTTCTCTCATGTCATTTCCATTGGTCAATCCTTCAGTATGGACCATCTCCTCCATCTCGATACAGACGTCGTCTGTCTTCTCGCCAAACTTAACTCCTACGACTATATCATCGTAGGAAGTGGTTTCGGTGGAGGTCCTTTAGCTGAACAGCTTGTATCCCAACAATACAAAGTCTTGTTGATCGAGCGCGGCAGCGTCATTTTCTCCACCCACGTTCTCAATACCTCTCGCCCTTACTTCAACCGCGGCGCAAGCAACTCCCCCGAGGGTAACGAACGTGTATATGACGCTGTCAAGGCCAAAGTCCAATGCACCGACCGCTCTGACAGTTATGTCGGCGGTCCAGTGTATTGTGTCGGTGGACGATCTAATCTTTGGGGTACTTGGATTCCAGAGATTGGCGATGAGACTCTCGGTGCTTTCTTCCCAAATGACGTCGTTGATTACCTCAAGGGCGAAGAGGTCCAAGGATATAAGAAAGCGTTCAGATATCTCACTGACTCACAGCCTGGCGACGTCATTTACCCAGAGGGTGACGGCAAGCATGAAGTCAGCGCTTCAGAGATTGGCGACGCGAATGAAATGCTGAATAATGCCTTGTCTGGCTCAAAGTTCGATCTCATGCCCATCGCAGCGCAATTCAATGCCCCTGCACCATACAAGTTTGCTCAAGGTGCATACAGTACTACCTTGGGTATCATCAATCGCATGTACGCCAACGATCAGTATCTCACTGTTCTCCTCAATACAGAGGTCATAGCTGTTCAGCACACTGCTAGTAACACCTTGTGAGTACACCCATTCATACATCGAGCACCCAAGCTGACCACGAAGGCGCAGCAACAAAAGCGTCAACGCTCTCAAGATCAGAGACAAATCCACCAACACCATCAAAGAGCTCAACGTCGGCAGAGCCAAAGTCATCCTTTCCGCTGGGACAATCGGCACCGCCTCCATCGCCCTCAACAGCGGTCTCGACCACCTCAATCCCTTGGTAGGTAAAGGCCTCATCGACCATAACGTCTGCTACGTGCGCTTCGCCAAGCAAAAGTCCGACACCGTCACCTCGAAGCCCCTCAATCTCAAAACACACCTCAAAGTCGGCGGCGAAGAATGTCTCGTCACTGTGACAATCAATGCGAATTTCTTCCTGGCCGGAAGTTCCGCGACGCTCAACACGACGCATTTCTATCGTCGTGATGGGACCCTCATGAGTCCTACTAAGGATGCGGCTGATGAGAAGGAGAACTTCGATACCATCTGTGTGCTATTCGAGTTTGTTGGAAAACTCGATGATGAGAATTCCGTGCTCAGTCTTCCGGGCTTGGACCCTGTGCTGGATATTCGCCGCCCACCGATCAAGCATGAGGTTCAATGCGCAATGGAAGATATCATCCGCAGAGTTCGTGACGCTTTCGTTGGGCTGAAGCCTAATCAGGCTACGTATGCCGACCCAGGAGTGTGTCCTGATCCTGGACTCAGACCGCAGCATCTGGGCTTCGGAGTGTTTTCTCACGAGTGCGGAACGATGAGAATGGATGGGCCGAAGGGGCTTGGTGTTGTAGACTCAAAACTCAAGGTCAAGGGATTGGATAATCTATGGGTTTGTGATCTTTCGGTTCTGCCTGTCAGTCCGGAGGCCAATCCCTCGTTGACTCTGGCGGCTCTTTCGCTGAGACTGGCTGAGCATCTGTGCGGCAAGAATCATTGAGGCAGAACAGGGCTTACCTCCGAGAATCAGTAGGATGAGTGGTATTTTTGCATAGTGGTCATCTAGATTGATACTGAAGGATTTATTCATTTGTAATCGGTGCTGCGTTTGAAGTCATTCGTCCGTGAGCCCCGGCTGAAAACCGGTCATAGAACCCAAACTCCAAAGACATTCGGCCGAAGTCCGGATTTAACATTTCGAATATCCATTTATTTTCGGTTCTCTGTTTCTATACATAAGATGTCCTGTATCTACACTCGTCCATCTTAACTCAACTAACATTCACCCTTTAAAGCACCAAGCTCAGACCCGACGATCAAATACAACCAAATCCTCACAATGTCCACCCAACAATTTGCAAAACATCAGCCCCAAGGCTTCTCCAACCGCATCGAAAGGGTTTCAATAGTTGGAGTATGTTCCCTTAGGCTCCCGTCTGCTCATTCTCCTGACTTGACGTAGGCTGGTGGCCGACAAGGCGCCCAGATAACCGAGCAACTACTCAAGACTGGAAAACACGCTATTACTGCCCTCACTCGCATCGGCAGTACTTCCAAGCTTTCCGACAATGTCAAGGCTATCCCTGTGGATTATAAAGACGAAGAGTCTCTGGCATTGGCACTCAAGGATCAGCAGCTTCTCATCATTACTCTCGCCGTCAGTGTGGACCCAGAAGTCCATCATCGCATCGTTCGTGCAGCTGGAAAAGCGGGCGTCCGCTATATTATCCCCAATATTTACGCTGCCAACGTGGTCATTGAGAACCAAGGTTCCGTCGATGACTTCTTCCCCGCTGCACCGCCAATCAATCTCCTCAAAGAAATTGAGCGCGTTGGCGTCAGCTCATGGATCCTACTCGTAGGAGGCGTCTGGTTTGACTATAGCCTTCCCTCTGGAGAGTCTTTCATGGGCTTTGATATCGATAACCGCAAGGTTACGTTGTTCGATGAGGGTGAAGCAAAGATCAACACTAGCACGTTGGCTCAGTTCGGTCGTGCCGCTGCTGCCATTGCCAGCCTCAAAGAGTTCCCAGACAATGAAACCGATCAATCCCTCAGTATCGCTGAATTTCGAAACAAACCTGTGTATCTTTCGAGCTTTTATGTCAGCCAGAAGGATATTCTAAAAAGTATTCAGCGAGTCACAAGCACAACAGATGCAGACTGGGAGATAAAATATGAGAGCAGCGCTGATCGAATTGAGAATGGCAAGGCGATGGGGAGATCTGGCAACATCATGGGACTCGTGCAGGCTTATTATTCATTTATTTTCTCACCAGAGGGCCAAAAGCTGAAGACCCAAGATAAGCTGCACAATGAGCTTCTTGGGTTGCCGGAGGAGGACTTGGATGCAGTGGTCAAAGATTGTGTTGAAAGGGCCGAGAACAAGTTCCGAGCACTGTGACTGTAACGGGCCCATCGTTCAGTCCATTTAGCGCACCGAGGTGCGGTATAGAAATACAACCACAATTGTGGACTTTTTTATTGTAATTTCGGTGAGGCGTAATCTACTCAGACCAATTGCCAACCGCCAGCTGGCACATGTGAGCGCACAGCCTGACATGATAACTGGCCACCAATCACTTGCGCCAAACGGTTTTTTCAGCTGCCTGAGAGTAATTACAAGTGATACCGATTACTTCCCTCCATCCACAGCGCCAGTTTCGAGAGGGTCAAAAAACTCCATCTTACATCAAAGTTCCTACCCGACTCTTGATATTGCCTACAAACTGACACGAAACCCCCCCCCCAACGATCGATTTTGAGTCGCACTTTGGTCCTGTGGCGCCATGTCATTCGGCTTCGGCGTTGGCGACTTCATTGCCGTGGGGGAGCTATGCTGGAAGATCTACACCCGAGTATACAAGGTGTCGCGCGATGCACCAGAGGAGCTTCGGGCTTTGATCCAAGAACTGGGAAATCTTTCAAACACAGTGAACTTGCTCAATGAGGAATTGAGAGATCAGGAAGTGTGGATAGAGCGGGCGGGAGAGAGACGACTCGAATATACCTGCAAAGTCATGAGTCAAGCCAAAGAGACGCTTCAGAAAATGGATCGGCTTGCAGACAAATATGTGGAACTCGGCACGGGAGATGGTTTGGAAGGTTCCAGGCGTTCATTTCGAATCCATTGGAACCGAGTCAAGTACGCATTGGAGGTGTCTAGCATCAACGAGCTTCGTGCGAAGGTTTGGATCCCCGCACAACCAAATTAAATCAAGCCTTAACGTTCTCTAGTTCATGTGTCAAAATTCCCACTTAACACTTCTTTTGCAAGGTGCTCAAAAGTTGGTCTATTCTTGTTCTTTCTAAAATACCCACTAACGAGTAAGTTCATCTTTGGAACGCATTGAGAAACAACAATCAAAAACGGACATGAAGCTGGACGAGCTTCGGAACCTCATAATAGGCGACCGCAGTTCGCGCGAGAATCCTCTTCTGAACGGTCCGTTAGAGGAGGAAGTTCGAGCAGAGCTTAGCGCAGCATTCTTGCGAAGTGCAGAGACTGGTAATAGGCCTTGGGCCTCTATTGGGATAGACGACTGGCTACAAGCCGGTCAATGGTGGTTGTTAAAGGTACCAGGCAAATCAGTCATCACGCATTTCGCTTTCTAACCTTTGATCCAAACAGGCTCGTTCACAGATGAATCATCTAGCTCAGGGGTTGGCAGTTGAAGCTGAGGCCTATATCAACCTTCTCAAGGCATATTGGATACTGATCGATATCGTCTCTATACATCCACAACGCATGCATTTAGGTGCATCTAACGACAGACGAAATGAAGACATCCGAAAACTCAGTCAGCTAAAAAGGTTTGATCTTTTTCAATTCCGGTGCTTAGACTGACCATTCCAGACCGCAAGAAAAAGCCTGGAAAGCTTCCCTCGTTTCGATTTTCAACTCCACGATATTGAGGGCTATACCATGAATATATGGCTTCAAGAAGCACCCTCGAGCATAATTGCCCCTCGCCATCAGCCGAACTTGACTGGCAGTAATCATAGTTGGCAAAACTCAAACGGAGAAGTTTTGTTTCACTGGTAGGAGTGAATAATGCGATTGGCATACTCGTATCTGATCAGATTCATAGCTTCGTCGAGATTTGTAACACGACCAAGAGCACCAAAAACCTCCCTAACGGATGTTTTCTTACGTTAGAGGTACCTCATGAAGGCATTTTTCTCAATTTCACTCTCCAAAACTTCGCTGGCCAAACCATCTCTGAGCTACAGGGTAAGTATCGCAGGTTCCTAGGAGAGGTCAAAATGAAAGCTTACATTCTTTTCTTTAGTCAAGCCTGCTGATGAGTATTTTGACTTTCAATCGCTTTATTTCGAGCCATGGGTAGAGTTTAAGGGTTCAGAAAAGAAAAGCCTAGTCCGACTCCTGAATGACCAAGGTAGCTCGTTCCCTACCATTACTACTCAATCACTAACTTTTGTTAGACTCCAATGCCTTGGAGGCAATTCTTTGGGGGTTCCGGCTATTTGGTTCAGCATTTTACCCCATATCATTGAGCGTATCGATGGTTCATTCTGTTTCTGTGTTAGCCAGTTGGCCGAGTCGAAATTGGCGCTCCCTTCTGCTTCCAGGCTATGACATTGGCTGCACATCCCAATCCGATTCGCCTACGTTACTTTTAAGGACAATCATTCTCGATCTAGCGGAGAAAGGCTGCGAGGAAAACATCTCAGGCTCGAAGTTTCTCGCTCAAGATCTGAGCGTCGAATTACCACCGGGTTACCGCGATTGGAAGGTTATCTGCTGGCACTGTGAGAAATTCGAGGACATCAAGCCGCTATTCAAAAAGTTCCATGTTCGAAATGATGTCCACCGCTACTTGATTCAGACCGCATTTCTTCGACTTAACCGTAGTCTTTTAAGCCAGTTAGCGCGTTACATGAACTACGGAGATACATGGCGCCCTAATGACGTACTCATTATGGTCGAGGCTACTCTAAGCTCAGAGGATGCCGGATATCTTCTATGGGTCTTAGACAATGTTGCTTCTAGTGTGATTTCTCGGCATCGGATTCCTATCTTCCGGTTAGTCTACAACAGCAGAGGCCTCAACCACATTGAAACCATGCTACAAAGATTCAATCCCCGCCCAGCAGACATCGCAGCAGCCATCTCCTGGTATCTAGTCTCTAATGACGAGCAAAGCTTTGAAGGCTTCTTACAACTGATCGAAGACTGTGGCGGCTCTTTCAGCAGTAGGACAGCTGAAGATGTGGATTTCACGGATTTCTATCCCACTTTTGTGTCCGGCTGCAGTCACTTGATAGAGAGCAAATGTTCTAACTCTCTGAGCCTCTATCTCAGTTCCTTTGAGAGACTTGGCATTGATTTCCATGGTGTCCAGGGCCATGAAACCACCAATTCCTCTCAATTGGCTATTCTTCCGGCACTAGTCTCTTCAGATCCATCATTTCTTCACATTCTACTGGAACGAGATGTCGCAGTGGTAGATATGGAACCTTTCGTTGTGGAGTACAACTCATGGAATGTGGCGGAGTGTCCACCGCGGCTAGAGTTAAGGGAGTTAGTTCAATATCCTTCCTTATCAATGCCACATTGGCCCCTCTACTACGCTGTTATGCTTGTTTGCGATACGGAATTCCTTCACCTACTGTGTCAACATGGGGCATCGTTGCAACAAAAGCGCGAGGGTACGCAAGATGAGAAGACTGAGACACGAGGGATAACTCATCACCTTTCAAGCCTATCAAGTGTGTCAGATGCTCGACTGGAGTACATGGAGGCCCTCATGATTTGCCATGTACTTATTTGTGTCGGCACCCTGGGTAGGCACTTCCCTTCAAGACCTGCGAACTATTTCAGAGCAGTCGATGAGATGACGGACTATGAAGAGACTTGGAGGTGTATGGAGCGCCTTTTGTATCGCGATAGCTTCTTCTCTGACTGTTTATGTCCATGTGGCTATGCCTTTCAAGGTGACTAGAAAAGCCGGCCTGACACACGCTCAAAGATGATGTCTAGATACTCTAAGTTCCCACAACACTATTCTAAACACCTTCGGACACAGGCAACCTGGGACATATGGCGTCGCGATGCCTTAGAGATTCTGAGCATGTAAACTTGGGTGGATTCAATTCTCAGATCCGATGCAAGACGATGCAGGTAGAGGGTAACCTTTGAAACTGTCAGCTGTTCGTAATTGCAGTATATAAGAACTAAAATAGATCTATAAAGCTTTATTCGTTGTAAAAACCGAGGAAGAGCAAGGATTGACGGCTTGACGTCACCCACATCAGGTACCACCACTTTTGATCAGGACCTCGAAGCAACTTGAGCTCATGTACGGAAACAAAACGTTAGCTCCATATGGAATGCTGTAGGAGAGGACTTAGATTAGTCGTTAGGGTTTGTGTGAAGGGGACTAATATCGAGTCCATACCATCTTAAGAGGTTTTTCAGAGCAAACAATAACATCAAAGGCCTCCGGAAACTTCGGATGTATATTCATCTTTGACGTGAACTTTAAACTACGATAAGCGTGCTTGTGACCACTTGTATCTCAGACTGGTTCCACAAGAATCCTTTTTACATGGTTTCCGGCGCGTGCCTGAATTGACTTTACAGCTGTCGCAATCTTGCCATAGGGAAATACAGAAAGTAAGAGTAACAATAGCAAGTACCGGTAAAGCAGTAGCGAAATAGACCCAGAACAGATCATGACCAGTGGAATAACTATCAGACATACTGAAAAGACTTGCAACCATGCCAACGACACGAACACGAGTGCCAGTAACGTCAGACACTTTGTGTTTATAGTTTCCAGGATTGAACGTCGGGAGTCGAGCATCTGGACGAGGGCCGTCGCTACCATAAATATCTGCTCCAGAGATTGACTTTAATCGTGGAGTTGGACACGGAGATAGTCAATGTCGCTGAAGACAGCATGACAAATTAAGGTATCATCGCTTGGTGATATGAGAGTTGATAACATCCCTCAGGACACTGAATTTACGGTGGCTGCTCTTGCTACGCCTTTTCCAGCGCTAGAGATCTAGCAGGAACTAATAGTTGAATGGCCTGATTTGAGTTGGTCTGAGTACTGATAGTGCTGGGAACATCGAGTTATTAGGTAGTTGTAGATGTTCCATTCAGATAACGTAATAAAGATACCGTAGTAACCAATACTTAGTATGCTTGGAGGGTTCAAGTATAATCCCGGCGATGGACAGGTCTCGAGGTAGTGTATGCTGAAGTTAGAGGTTTAGATTAAGCGATTATGATATGGAATTCTTAATAAATGTAAAAAAAGAATATATTAGATGTACTTAATGAACTAGTTCGAGGCATGGAGCTAATAGAGAATAATATATAGGGCCAAGCTAATGCTCTATTTATATTATATCTAATAACTTACTGATAACACTAGAGCAGTAGTTCAGCGCACGGCGAGTCTGCGTAATGTCTCGGGACATACTTATGTATGTCTTCCTTGTCCTTATTCGCTCCATTGTCTAATAGATCTGCCACAATCTCTTTCTTCCCTTCCTGTACTGCAAGGTGCAGAGGCGTCCAGCGTGATCGTTGCCACCGCGCGTTCACGCGGGTGGAGGTGATAGCTTTGCGGAAGTGCGTTGCACGAGTTTTAGGTGACAAGGGAAGTAGTACCAAAATGTGAAGTGAGAAATCATTTAAATGTTCCATGAAAGGGGCCTCGGCACCATCTTTCCATAGAAGGCCAAGCCGTTGGATTATACCTTTGCGACGATCTTTGGCCCCTTGATCGTGGAAAGGCACAATATCATCCAAGAGCTCTGACACCAATTTGAACGCTTGCAGGATGTAACCTCCTTCATGACCACCCAAAAGGTTATGGACTGCCTGAATCTGAAGGCTCGATGGATGAGGTAAGGCATGCAGAAGGTCATTTCTCTCAAGCAGGTTGTGAACCTCGTGTAAAATCTCCAGACTGCTAGGCCTCATGTTTGGGTATTTATGGGTGCACTTGTCGATCATTATCTTTGTCGCTTTTTTCAATTTGGAGTCCTTGAGTTTCATCAACTCGAGGACCGTGGCTAGAAAGTTCGATTAATATATGCTGCGTCTTTTTCAAAACTAAGTCAAAGGTGTTCACCTTACCTCCAAACGACCAAATATCTCCTTTTGTCGACCACTGACTGCCTCGAATCACTTCCTGCCAGCCTTTCAGAACACAGCTCTAGCCGCCACGGGACAGAAAGTACAACTTACCGGAGGCAGAAATCCTTGGCTGCCGATCCATTGCGTTGTGTTGTATTCAGGGCCCTTCCCTGCCTCGGAGGCTATCCCAAGGTCGCAAAGCTTGTAGATACGGCCGTCAGACTTGCAACTTTGCATCACAACTACAAACAAGATATGAATTAGTATGCTTGCTACGTCTTCAATTGAATAGAGACTTACTATTAGCTGGCTTTATGTCTCGATGTATGACATTGTGCCACAAACTTTCAACAGAGGCTTCCCAGTTTCCTTCTCGATAATTGATAGCTAAGCCATAGTGTAGATAGGCCAAAGCCAACGATACTTGGGCAATCAGGCTCCAAACGCTCTTCGAGTCCAGCGCTGTCGTTTCACTCCTTGAGGATGAGTCTTCTGCATAAAAGCCATAGTGCTTATCCTCATCATCTTCAGTTTCATCAACATCATCCTCTTCCTGGTCACTGTCGCTGGACATATCTAATGGCCGCCCATGACAGGTTTTGAGGTCTCCGAGGTCACAGTACTCCATATAAAGAAGAAATGCATTCTGGTCCGGGTCCTCGTCAAAGTCCAAGCATGCTACTACATTTGGGTGTCGAAGTCGATGGAGAATCATACGTTCAGACTCGAAATACTTCCTTACCAGTCCCTGAATGTCGGTTGATAGAGAAAATGTCTTGCGAAAGACCATCTAGAGTTGTATCAGAGTTATGAGAATTATATATCATATTATGTCTGACTTTGAAGGCGGGGGTGTGATGTTCAGAGGAACTGTCGTAAAGCCATGCTCACGATGTGTTCGATCAGATTGTAGGAAATGCCAACTCGACTTACCGCTGACGATGAAGAGTAGTCATGTGTAGAAGTCTTCTCCAGAACGTGGCACTTGCATTGATTGCCCTTCTGTACTCGTCCAGTTCTTTGCTCATTGACCATGTAAGCTCGCCAATTGAGATCATGGACGATGCTGTCGTTTGGTAACATCTTAGTATTCCACCTTATCTGTGCTCGCGCCTCAATCAGCCTCTCGATGACCTTTGTATTTTGCTTTCGGATAGCTTCATCCAAGGCAGTGAGTCCAACTTTATCAACCGCATTGATGTCTATATCTTTGGAAAGCAATTCGCTCACAATGAGCTCGTGTCCTCGTTTGGCAGCACAATGGAGCGCCGTGGCACCGTGGGCATTTGAGATTCTTGGATCAGCAAGAGCCTCTAAAAGGCAGCGAACAACATCACCGTGACCACCCCAAGTTGCAAGGTATAAGGCTGTCCTGGAATGAACATCCTTTGCATTGATGTCGACGCCGGTGTCAATAAGCCTCTGTACAATATCAGCATGGCCTTCTTTCGCAGCCAAATGTAATGAACTCCACCCATCAAGCGCTGTTGTTAAGCTGGGTGTAGCGTTGTAGGACAGTAACGTGGAAACCATGGTCGTCCACCCGCGTCTGACAGCCCAATGTAAAGCGGTCCAGCCTCCAGTAGTTGTGGCATCAGGATGGACTTTCTGGCCCATTATTATGTGCGATGCAACGTTCGTCAGGCCAAAGTACGCCGATATGTGTAAGCCCAACATGCCTTGATATGCTCGTTCATAGTGGCTCGGGTGCTGTTCATAGGTTGACATGACCAACCCAGCAGACAGAGTATTATGGCTTGAGTTGAACAGAGCCATAATATCGCTCATTATGTTTGAAAACATAACTCGCTGTGCATGTTCTCCCCAGTACCTTGCAGCATAACCCAGCATGGAATATTGGGCCAGTCTGGCCTCGAGTTCCCCTGGCTCAGTGGGAACTTTGAGAGAAAAGGCATTGAAGCAAAGACATGTGAGACACTTCTTGGCAATAAATGCCTCTGGCTCACTAGGGCCAGGTATGACTGACATGACTGTTGGAAGGAACTCTCGAAGGTACTCATTGACCGATTTATGTGCCAGAACTATTTGTGGCCTGGATGGTTCGCTGAACATTGGACCAGAACAAATCTCTGACACTACCTCAATTGACGGCAAAGTATCGTCGTCCAAGCAGTCGCTCCCTAGCCGGATCCCAACGGCCTCTTGGAGCTGATGCAGTGTAAGTGGCCGTACTGAATACGCAAGCCACAACAGTACCTCCAATGCTAGGGTAGACTGATCGCCTTGACCAAGAACGGTTTTATGCATCCATATCCCATAAAGGTCATTGAGGCTATGCTGAGTGGATAGCTCATCCTTCAGTTGTCTAATAGTTGATTGAGACAACAGAGAATCAAGGGAAACCTTTGCAAAGAGGAAGCTACTTGCTTATCAGATCAACTATCAGCGGGACTTATGGTGCACATCTCAACTTACTTGCCGTCGGATCTTTCGATTATCCCCTTTACAATGTCATCATGAAGGGTTGGTTGGTCTGCCAGCCATGATTTAGACAGTCTCTCCCGCACATAGGCTTCAAGGTCAGAGCCCTGGGCGCGTACTTCGAGTACTTCAAAGCTTTTAAACGCAGTCTTGTTCACACACGTTGGCCTCGACGTCACAAAGATACTAGTGTTAGGGATTTCGAGGAGATGATAAAAGTCAGCGAGAAAGCCTTCTGGACCTTGCGTGTACTCATCCAGAGCGTCAAAAAGGATAAAAACGCGGTTAAACCGATTAATCTCACTTATTAGACTAGCCCAACGTTCTTCTAAGTTTGGGGAGATTGAAGAAGACTTGTGTTTGTTGTATAACGCAGTAAGAGTATTCGACATGTCGTGGGATTGCCTTATGAGTTGTAAAATCAAGGAGTTGACAATATCCGTCGGTTTCTGCGTTTCTTGATGTCTGAAGTCGAAAAAGACAAATATGACAGGAATCTTTTCCTTGGGGAACTTTTGGCGGAGATGGCTGATCACCATTGCACTGGGGTGAATGTCATTAGAACTCCCATAGAGCCTCCATTTGTCATGGTGATAAAGGAGCATCTCACCATGTGATTGACTTTCCGGCCCCAGCTGGTAATCACGAGGACACTTAGTAAGTATGAGGCTCCAAAATTGACAGAAATGTAACAATGTAACTCACCATTACCATTACACCATAATGGCATACCAGGCTCCTCCACCCACCGCTTGAATGAAGAGTCTTCGAGCAACCATGATCCGGTTCCGGAAAGGCTTATTTCCGTCAAGTGTAGAAGCACGTCTGAAAAGTCAAGACCACCCAACCATTCTGTGATAACTTTGGCAGAAAGCTCAGAGGGGCCTCCCTGATCAAGGTGATTTAAAGCATCTGCTGAATGTGATATTTCGGATCTATCCAGTAACGAATCGAGGAGTCGACGGTTATCTTCGATCTCGTCCAATAGTTGTGATGCTTTGACTTGGATGAAGCGTTGCCAAAGAGGACGAGACCCTGGTCGTCTGACCCTGATCTCTAGTTCGCTGAGAAGAGCCTCTAGATTCTGGCCTTGTCGAGCTAACGCAACCATGGTCTGCACACTGGCATCCTCCGTACCCTCTCGCTCCGCAAGATCACGGGCTGCCAAGAGTGTCCCCCTCAATAGTTCGACTTTGCCAAGAAAATCCGCAGCTTCATCTGAGGTGTGCGCCCCCTCTTTGAGGGAAGTGATGATGGCCCTTGCCCGTTGAATCAAACTCGTGGTTAATCCAACAAGCCCAAAGGCCAACCCAGCTGCCTCCATGGTCTTACTGTGGGCTGCTTACGCACAATTTTTGGATTCGAGTAGGGTTGGCTAGGTTCTGTGTGGAGATATAAGCTCAGAAACACAAGTCTCGGCTGCGGATAACACAGAAGCGGGGATTGAAATTCCAGAACATGGACGAGATTGACGATGTAACACCTCTCTTAGCAGAGGGAGGTATAGATTGGGGCTTTAGAACGGGGAAATTAATGCTCGAAGTCATCAGTCATGGGTGACAGGACAACCCTACACAGTATGCATATTCGGAGGCATTGCGTCTATCAAGTTCAGTTTTCTGAGATCAAGTTCCAGACATGTGCCTCAATTGCGTCTGCTCAGTACCTCAAGCATCCGGATCAGCACAGTTCCGACGAGCTGTGCGACATTTGTTCAAAGAGGGCACCAATGGCGTGGCCGTATGGTGGGAACGAGTTTTCCCGGTCTGTAGCTGAAAAGCACGTCGCCAAATATAGAAATCGGATTCGTAATACAGTGACTTTCAGCCCGCTTTTACAAATTTGAGGCCAACTTTGGCAGTATATCATTGGTACTCTGGTTCTGGGCTGCATCTTGGCACTTCTAAAAGGTCCTATAGAGTCTCCCACGTCGTTCCGCTTTCATGTACCCTGGATGGTGTCGAAATGCAACATCCAGGGAATATGACCGGGAGGATGTGATATCAGGCTCACCGAAAACGTCTTAATTTAGATACCCGAAATATAACGCCAGTGATTGACTGAGCGCGTACCCTATTACTTGAGCTCCTATTAATCCTAACTGCCTACCTTATTTTTGTCTATTTAAGTAAAGGGTCTATAGGATTGTCTTTATTCAACCTAAGGGGATCTGACAACAGGTTGTCTGTCGCAAGGGTTGCTTCTTTTCTTTCGAAATTCTAATTGCGAGTAGACTTTTGTTCGAGTATCTTTGTCAATAACCAAAGCTGTTTCAATGGAAATCGCTGGTATCGCGCTCGCGTCCGGGTCTGCCGCCCATGAGCTTATCAAATGCGGAATCAGGATCTACCGTCGAATCAAAGACGAGAAAAAACTAGCTCTAGTTTTACGAGACTTCCAGATGTTCGACCTTGAGAATCGGCGAGCCCAGCTTAGTATCGACATTAAACTGGCTCAAGGGGTTCTTAAGAGTCAAAAAATTGATAACGAACACAAGGAGCGTCTGAAACAAAACTGGGAGCACATCAAGACCCTGTTAATCAAAGTCGAGAATCTTATTGAAACGATGGTACAGAACTCATCGCCGATGGCAACCCGTGCTCGCCACAAAGCTCGAGATGCCTTGCTTGACCTTGGTGGTACCAAAGCGGTCTCTATTGCTGTTCAAGAGTTTCAATCCGTAGTTCTTGCACTTCGTGAGCTTGAGAGGGATGAGTCTCAACTATTCATGTCGCAAAAGGACTTCCAGCCGCTCGAGATGGACAGCAGAGTCTACGGCCCAACCAGAATCAGCTTTTTCGGCAGGGGTCGACTGACAGATCCCCCTCCAGGTGTTCCCAACAGGCCCCAGTGGTTCTTATTTGAGTCGAAGCCCTACGAGCACAAGGTCCCCCAGAAAAGGGAGGAGGCGAAAGATGATATTGGAATATTAGCCCAGAAACTTCACCAAGCGCAGCAAGACAAGGGCATCTTGCGTCTCGTCGGCTTTAGAGATGAAATCAACGACAATCAAGGAAGCTTTCAGCTTGTTTTCGCCTGCCCGTTCGAAGGAAACTACCCTTCAAATCTTGAGAGCTATATTACGGCTAATCCTACGCCCTCGCTGAACCTGCGAATCAACCTCTGTAGCCAGCTCGCCACTGCGGTTCTACAAACGCAAACCCTGGGCCTGGTACACAAAAATGTGAGACCCGAGAATATTCTCCTGCTTCCCAGTACTCCCACCGTAGGGGTAGTAGGTGAAAGCAGCTTGGGGGTCTTTCTCACTGGATGGCAGTATGCCCGTCAAGACGAGATGGGTGCTACATTTCTGAGAGGAGAAACAATGCTGCAACGCAAAATCTATCAACACCCTGAGAGACAAATCCTTCTTGCCGAAAAGCAGTACGCTATGAGCCATGACGCATACAGCCTCGGCGTATGCATGATTGAGATTCTCACCTGGAGAAGCTTGTTGCTTGCAACTGAGCCTCCTACTATGTCTCAGGACTTTATAGAAGCATTCCAACGACTTGGCCTACCACTAGACATAGAAGAGCTCTATACTAAGTACCCAGATCAGATCAAGCAAACTCTCTGCTGCATTTGCGATGAGCTACTCCCAACCGTTGCAGGTAATAAGATGGCCCGTTTGGTCAAAGACTTCCTGACCTGTCTTGATGGTGAGGGAGAGCTTGATGAGAACGAAGCCCACCAATACGCTCCAGCTCATGACAAAGACAGAAAGCTGGTAGCAATTCATTTCGTTGATACAGCCCTAAAGGCTTTGCGGGACTTTCAGAGCGCTATTTAACAAGCAGGTATTAAGAATAAGCAGGAGTTCATTTTAAGGGCTTTTATAAAAAGTTCTTATATATAGACTGTCATAGGAAGATAGGAATTAAGCTCTTTTATTAATATTTAATGTTTAAATATAATAACTTTAAGAGTTATTTTAATAATAAGGTATATATCTATATATATTTCTAGAGATATTTAATATTAAACTTCTTAAATAATGGTAAATAATATTTAGTCTTTTATTAATTGAAAAGGGCTTTTATTGTAATTTATATATTAATCTAATTGTTAATATTATATATAAGATAGATGTATAAGAAATAGCAGGTACTCATGAGAATTCATCGATTTCAAATCGACAACACGGAAATAAGCATTTTTCTCCAGTAGGAATCTTCTTTGGTATGTCTATCTTATACAGCCTTTTGTTGATGTCTTATTTCCGTTTTGCAAGGGCGCATTCTGACTTGGTGGCTGGAGCTGGGCACCAGACCCAGACGTCACGCCTCACTTTGCTACGCCCAGTAGATATAAGCAGCCCTATATCAGGAAAAATTTGTACTTAAATATAGAGATCATAATGGACTTTTGAAGTAATATCCCAATACCCTAGACCAGACAGACTTTGAGTGTCCCCAGCACTACATTGCCCCACTAGTACCACAGGCAGCAAAATATAAACAAGCATTACGCGTTCGACAAGATTCATTTGTTGCGAGTTAGCAAACGCATAGTGGGCCTTTTCTTTAGTCTTCGTAGCATATTCATCAATGCAAGTAGGGCCAGGAAAGCGAAGCACTCGGCAGTCTTGTGTAAAGAATGCATTAGGAGACACCCTGGTTCGACTATTCCGATCGAAGCTCCTCTCCTAGACTGATATATTTCCACAGCTTCTCTACGATATCTGTTTCTTTGCTTATTGGCATTAACGATATACATTTGTAATGTAATGCCTGCCCTCAAGAATGAGGCAGCGACAGAAAGCCTTGGAGGAAGGGGAATTTTGTTTAAACTGGCTGACACTGCGAAAGATACTACAGCAACTGCCAAACTTCCTGCAAATTCGAGTTGAGCTTGTTACTTGGGCTGTGTGTAAGCGTTCTTTCTTTGTTCATCTGTTACCTCCAATGACACTGGTCAGCGGTGTCAGGTCATAAACCACAGTGTCAGTATCGCTTCAGAGCAACTGCTCTACCCGCTTCGGCACGTCCTTCAAGCAGCTTCTCTCAAAAACATCAACGCATCACATCACTCAACTTATTCACACAAAAGAATCTGCAGCACTCATCGCCTTCACCACCGAATTACTTCTAGCATCTTCGACATGTCTGAACTGCCAGTCCGCCCTCGTAAGTTCTTGGCCATCGCTCATTTTCACCGCTAACGAGTTCAGCCGAATACCAGGCTGGTAGGGTCATACAATTGCAGATACTCGAAGGCAGCAGCGGTTCTTGGGCGCTGTCGGAAAAGGAAATCTCTGTAGTCGTTGAACGAGTTATTACAGAGACTATGGCCCCCGTCATGCAAGTCCGCTTCCACGATCGCCTTGCCATTCTCAAGGTCTACGATCGTCGCTGCGGGACAGACCTTCGTGACTACAGGGACAGGCACATTCCCTGCACCGCTCAAGTTGAAACTGCTTACCAGTCATTTCTAAATGCAGGTGCCATGGACGCCTTCCTCAAAGAGATGGATCATAACGAAGCCACGTCGGAATTCCCACGTACCCTAACAGAGATTCGGGAGGGGTCTGACGGCATCGTGAGATTTGAAGCGGCGCTCTGGAGGATCACTGATCAGCATTTCAGAACCGAGGCTGAGGTCTACGATCGCTTGAAAGACCTCCAAGGTGTTTTGATCCCAGAGCTTTACGGGTTGGTACGCATCGTCGCTCCAGGAGCTACTCCAGCGTCCTCAAAACAAGATTACCAAACTGTCTATGGTATCCTCCTCCAACACATCCCAGGTGTTAATCTTTATGAGCTCATTGAGGAGGAAGTCCGGCCTACAACGCAGCAAGATTGGACATGTCTCATTCAGCGAGCTATTGACGCGGCGTATGAGATTAACAAGCGCGGTATTATCCTAGACGACAGCTCACCTCGCAATGTGGTCGTGGAACCCTCAACATTCCAGCCCTTCCTCGTTGACTTTGCGCAGTGCTTTTTCAAAGATAAATTAATTGAGAAATGGGTCGACTCGAGCACTGATGCAGAAGGGGGGGGAGATTGGGATGGCGACGCCAAGTTCTGCGAGACGGCAGTAATATTCGATAACTCTGGCGCAATTGGAGTGCCCATGGTGAGAAGACTGGAGAAGTCCTGTGGGTTCACAGTGGAGGTTAGGTATCCCAAAGAAGGTCAACTCCTCTGCGATATCAAGCGCCAGCCAAAGCCAGAGGCCAAGATGAGCGAGTCACTCCAACACGTCGAGGGCAGCTCGGAACCGGGGATTAGATCTCCCAAGATATGAGCCGCTCCACGACACGACAGCTGCAGCCACGCAGCAGCTTTGAAGGGTTTGAGATGCGATTGCGACCTGTCAGAAACTTGCCTGGGCTTGTGAGCGGGACACATACGGACAACAGCGAACGCCAAAGACAGACGGGGTACAAGACAGTCAAGAAGCAGATAATTGATAACAAATCAGAAGACGAGATAGTCTTCGGCCGCTTTTACCAACTGGTGGCATTCACCTTTGACCATAGAATACAATATACCATGGATGGCGGCTCCCTACGCGTGGGTCTTATCCGCTTTGGGGTTAGTACCTCAGTAACGTGGGGCATGACGCGAGGGGCAAGGAAACCAAGTCCCCTCACCCTTATCTCCCCCATCATATTCTCTTGTCAATGGCAAAGCATTCATCATAGTCTCACGCAGCAAATACAACAAATCATCCTTCTCAACCTATATATCCCCAAATGGATCTGGATCCGGATCGAACACGTTACAGCGTTTTCAGACGAGATGTTAGTTGACCACAAGATTGCCTACTGGTGCTGACTTCTCACGAGATATGCGAGCCGTGCCATCAAAATAATTCTCAATGCGATGCAAAAAAACCAACATGCTCTAGCTGCGATTCAGACGGGACCGAGTGCGTTTGGGTTATGCAAATTACTCATGTCAACGATAGCCCAATGCCCCAGGCTTCACAGGAACTGTACGTTTACATCAGTCTGACGGCAAAGAGATGCTTATCAGTGCAAGTCGAGACGCCATCGAGAGCGAGTCTTCACACTTTAATGGGCGCGTCGAGACATTTGGGGCGAGCTCCGAACGGCATCTTACAGGTGGAGAAGTTAAGACTGTACATGTAGATTTCGTGCATAAAGAGAATGGCCGGCCCAGCGAAGAGGAGGATGTAGAGATGGCCGGCACCGAAGATGAAGCACAAGAATTCAGCACTGTGACACCAATATACCCACAGGAGGGGTATAACGACGACACTTCCGACGTTGAAGACGACGATCCGAAAGAGCCGGCAGACGGGGAAGATGAGGAAGACCATGAGCCCCCCAGGTTGGCCAATTTGCGTGCCAAGCATCTTGCTCCAGCGTCACTCTTTGCTCTACCGTCACAATATCAGCAGTATGATCAGGACAAAATCATCCGTGCCTACTTCGATGGTGTCAACCCAGCCACGCCACTATTCAGTGAACAAGACTATGAATACTTCGACATGATCTGCAGAGAACGGCCTACTGTGTCACATGAGTGGTGCGCCGTCTTTGTCATGCTGGCATTGTCTCTGAGAAACGATCCCAAGAACTTCTATCAAGGAGATGACGAGAACTTCATGCGCAAAGCGTGCAAATATGTGGATGGTATGCTTAAATATCGACTGTCAGACGAAATAGGACTCCAGATCCTGCTGGGGGCGGCCTTGTATTTCATGACAACGCCGAGGCTAGAGCAAGCCGCACTTCTGCATGCCAAAGCTGTGAAATTGGTCTATGACCTGGGGTTGCATAAACACTCCGGGGACTTTGCTCTTTTGTATCCTGTGCGGCTTCTCTGGATAGCGTACATCATTGACCGAGATATGTCACTCCTCAGAGGCGAGCCATACCTGATGCAAGAGCATGATATTGCTTCTACTGTCGATGAAATCTCTTACAGGCACGGAGGCATTCTAACCGACATAAATAAGTCCTCGCACTTTGAGATTCTCAAGTACCGCGCTAGACTAGCGACTATCCAAGGCAAGATAGTCGATCTGGTATACTCAGTTCGGGCTTCGAAACTCTCTTTCGATCAGCGAGAGACGGTGGCGGATCGTTTGGACGAGATGCTGGAAGAATGGGTTGAGTCGATCCCCGAGCCGTACAGGGGAGATACACTCTCCAGGTTCGGCCACATGCACCAGAGATTCTTCAAACAGCTACGGGTGACGTATTGTCACTGCATCTTCTCTATTCGGCAAGCAACGTTGCGTAATAAAGAGTGGGTACGTCGGTTATTGAGGTTTGGCGAAGCTCGCAAAGGAGATGATACAGATACCCCATTGCTACCATCGAATTGGTCAGGGTTGGTCACAGCTGCACGGAAGTGCTTGTATATAGTAAACAAAGTGGACAGCCGCGATATGGCATTCCGTTGGTAAGACGAGCTACACCTTTAATCGTACTAATCTGCAACTAACAATGTCTAGGAGCTGTAGCCATGCGACGCAAGCGGCCATGACGATACTGGCTGCGAACAACATAACCCTTTCAGAGCATGACCTTCATGATTCGATCGATAAAGATCAACAGAGACTTCATATTGCACATGGTGAAGTAAGCGATCGGTTGGACGAAGATCCCACAAGGTCGACCGAGAAATTGTTTAACACTTGCGGTGAGCTTATCATCAAGGCCCGGGAGTCGGTGCGACAATTTAATGAGAACAAAAGTATGGAGGAGTCATGAGATTATCAAGAAGGACATATCCAGAGTTTTGAGCGAATTGAGTTTGTCGCTTATGATGGTTTGCGTATTTTTATGCTTGTCAATGAGAATGTACATGAACACATCACGTGATATGAAAACTCAGAATGTCGCGTGGACTCATCTCGTACGAGAATCAGACCTTGGATTATCTCACTCATCACAACTCAAATATGAACTGCACCAAGTTATAGCACTCAGAATGGAGGAACTACCAATCAAGCCTTCGGGCATCTCCATGCAACAAGACTTTATCACATCAGAGCATGAACAAAAACTCATTCACATTTTTGAGAATGAGCTAGAATGGCCAGCCCGAGGGGGACGACTATCACTTCACTACGGCTACACATTCAGCTACAAAACATTCGGTATCGATGAAGAAACACCTTTCAAGCCCTTTCCAGACTGGCTAGTTCCTTTGCTTCCAACAACCGAGGGCCGTCCACCGGATCAAGTCTGTCTTCAGCAATACGCCCCAGGAACAGGGATTCCGCCTCACGTCGACACCCACGGCCCCTTCGATCAGCTATACTCACTATCTCTGGGTTCACCACTTTTTATGCAATTCGCAAACAAGGAAACGGGCGAGAAGATCGAGGTCGACTTGTTACCGAGGAGTATGATGCAGATGAGCGGTGATTCACGATTACACTGGACTCACGGGATTAAATCTCGCAAAACAGATACTCTGCCTGATGGAACAGTACGACTACGGAAGATCCGCTGGAGTCTTACATATCGCTGGCTCCGCGAGGGTGCAGAGTGTGAGTGCGGGAATGAAAAGCTCTGTGATACGGCACAGCGGCGAAAAGGGATTGAGAGGGAATACCGATGGAAACAATACGAAGAAGACGCCAAGGCACCACAGTCTTAGTTCATTATATTCATGAGCTATTAGTATATATAATCCGCAGTGTCGGAAACATTAGAAGATAACTATCTAAGGCTTAGGAGAGAACCAAGTCTCCAGATCAATAGCCCAGTCAACAACACCACCAAAGTTTAAGCTCTTGGCCCAATCCGTACGCTTCTGCTTCGTTGTGGGTCCCATATACGCAACCCAATCAGTCATGCCTTTACCCTTGGTTCCAAACGTCATGATATCCGAGTCTGAGTCCTTATCGTACCACGTCTTGGCTGTAACGCCCTTCTTGCCCTGCTTAGCGTCGTACGCGATGAGGCGAATCTCCGCGTCGGAGAGGTATCCGGCCTCGCCAGTGCAGACACCCGGTTCGGCTTCGGAGACACTGAAGCTGCCAGTGAACTGACATGTTGGGCCGGTGCACTTGGGGTCTTTCATGCGGAAGCTGCGGCCGTAGCTGGAGATGCCGATGACGATCTTGGCGGGGTCGACGCCGGCTTTGGTGATCATGGCGAGGGAGTCGAGGGTCTCGGTCTTGTTGACGTGAGAGCGGAGACAGTTGCCGTTGGGGCAGCCGGAGCTGATGAACTTGTTGCCGTAATCTATAGAACGTTAGTATGAAGTATTACTGAGAGTCAAGGAAGGATACATACCCCATTGACCGTGGAGATCGTAGGTCATGTAGACCATGTAATCGACAAGAGGCGCAATTTTGGTAACAGGGAAAGGCTTAAGATACCAATACGCAGCAGGAAGAGCAACAGAGATAGTCTTGCCGCTCTTTCCAATCTTGTTCCTCATAACTTGGAGGAACGCAACGTAGTTGGCAGTATCGGTAGAAGAACCGTCAGAGCCAGCGGAGCCAGGATACTCCCAATCGAAATCAACACCATCAAGCTTATGGTTGTTCAGAACAGTCATGATGTTGTAAGCAAACTTGTCACGGTTCGCAGGCTTGATAGCATCACGGTAAAGCTGGTATGTTGACGCATCAGTTGAGCCAGCCCAGCCACCGAAGGAGATGATCTTCTTGAAGCTGCCCTTGACCTCCTTGAACTTGAGGAACTGCGCACGAACATCGGGTTGGAGAAGGACAGAGAAATCGGACTTAAGACCGGCAAAGGCAAAGTGGATGTGAGTGTAAGGAGTGGTGACCTCGGAAAGCTTGGTGACGTCCATGTTCAAGCAGGGTCGGCCGAGGTTGTAGCCTTGGAAGTAGCCCACGTTGAGGAACTTGGCGGGCTTCTTGGTGTTGCCGACGATCTTGGTACCGCAGTTTCCGATGCAGCCGGGAGTGTTGGGCTGGCTTGTACCGGGAGCACCACCCTTGGCGGTAGTGTTGGTGCAGAACTCAGAGGTGATACCACAGAAACCATAGCCAGAGCAGCAGGCGTTAAGAGGGCAGGGGTTCATGTTGGCGAGATCCCAGCCTGTCTTGGCACTAGAGGGCTTCTTGGATCCAGGCTTTTGAGGGCCGCAGACAGCACCGGCGATGGCCAAAGGCATGGGGTTCTTTCCCTTGCTAAGACAGATAGGCTGGCCGAGCTGCAGACGGTTGCAGCCTGCGAAGCCCCAGGTGTTCTTGTTAACGTCCTCAATGAACTTCTGAGTGATGCCGAAGTTCTGGCCGAGGGAGTAGCAGCCGTCACCAGACTTGATCTTGTAAATGAAACATGTACCATCCTTGCTAGGCTGGGGTGTCTTGTCCGGAAGAGTGCCAGCAGAGCAGCAAACCCACTGCTTAGGAGCGAGGGTGGAGCAAAAGTTCTTGGCGGGGTTGTACTTGTTGAAGTTGGCAGTGGTGACCTTGCACTTCTTGGCGAGCGAAGCACAAGAATCACCAGACACGACTTGGATAGCTGTGCAATCAGCGCGGGGGGCGAGGAGAGACTCAACGCCTGTGAAACGAGAGCGGAGCTCAACATCGCGAGCCTTGACGGTGGTGGTAGTCAGAACACCAAGGTTGATAGCCTCCTTGGAAGCTTGAGCGATGCTGACACACTGACCGTGAGACCAAGTCCTCACAGCGTTCTGGACAGCTTCAAGACCATTCACGTTATCAGCTGCGTAAAGACCAATAGTTTCAGCAGTCTTGTCATTGGCATTGCAGACCTGGAAAGCCTGAACACCCTTCTGAAGACGAGAAGCAGATTGGCGAAGAATGTTGGAGGCACTGTCCTTCTGAACTTCACCGCCGACGTAGACACCAGCAATGGAAGAGCCAGACTTGGCGAAGAGAATGGTATTACCGCACGTAGCCTCGTTATCAAGATACTCAGCCAAAAGACCAGCGGCAGCAGCGACATTGTTACCCGATCGGAGAACAGCCCTTCCAAAAGACGAGGTGGTCTTCACGGTAGCCTTCTCAGCACCGCAGTTACTAGCCAGCGAAACAGAGCTCTCGGCTGCTCTAGCCTGGACTTTGGTGACCTCATCCCTCTTGGTCTGTGTAGAGCTCGTCTCGGTAACGCAGGTATACAGCGTCGCGCTCTCGCTATAATCATTCTCAACATTGAGCGCAAACAGCATAGGCAGAGAACACCCCGCGAGCTCTTCCAGACTGTGAAGCTGCGTCCAGTTGGCAGGGTCGTTGCCCGCGATGCTGCAGGGCTGAGGACATCCTTCGGTGAGAGGACTCGAGATGGGGTCTTCGGTCTTGATCTCGCCGACGGGGGGCACGGGGTTCACGTCGCCGGGGTTAACATCGTCCTGAGCAGAAACAAAGAATGAAAGGAATGTGAGAAGGAAAAAAGTAAAGAGTGAATTAGCCATCGTGGGCAGTAGTTGGTGTTACTTCTTGACTCAAACGGTCAAGAGTGTTCAGAAAAAAAAGAGTGACTGATGGGATGCGGGAAAAGGGAGAGGGAGGAAGAGGCTAAGCGTCATGTTTTTAACGATGGAGGCGCCATTATTGGAAAAAGAGGCGTAGTTCGTCGTTAGTGGCCTGGACTGGCATGTGGACGGCGTACAATTTGGGATGAACAGCCAAGAACCACGTTGACTCGGTTGTGGATGGGTGAGGGTCGAGCTAACCCCTGGCTAGTGCTAGTGCAGGAACATGATGGCTCTTTTTTTGCTGTAAGGCTGCTGACCCTTGCGTGAGACCCCGGACGATATGATCCTCAGAGCTATCAATGTTTCCGATTGACAGAATGACATTTCACACTGCTATAGATTGGCGACAGACGACTTTTCCATCAGCTCTCTCATTAACTATCGTCTCTCTTTTCATAGCTACGTCTCTCAATCTCGCCCTCTCGCTTCCTCACAATTTGTCACATCTCCAAACCAACAGCACTTCTTCCCCCTGCTTAAGTCCGGTGATTTCCTTTTTCGCCCAAGTAGCTGGGTCTAGATCTCAAAACAGGCTGTTATCGCTTAGCACCCCTTCAAAAAGCACTGTTAGTGGCCCCACCCAATCTCCCACCGTTTTCTTAACAATCATTCTGTCAGGCATAAGCGCTAAGGCAAGAAGGCCCTTTTGTCGCGCGATTTGTTGCAGGGATTGGTGAGAATACCCCTGGTCTAGATTGAATACAGAAGTTGCCGGTCCCCGACGGAGAGCAATTGAACCCGAACATGCACGTTTACGCGCTGGGCTGATGGGCAATTTTAAATTTGAGGCTTTTGTGACTTTCGTGGAGAAGAGAGCGCTTGGTTAGATGAGAGTCAGCCACTGACGTTGTAATATCCGCACGAAGACGGGAAGAAGCTCGTGACAGTTGACGCGAAGCAAGGACCCTGAGAGCTGGCGATGACCCGTTTTTGAAGGCAGTGAGTGACTCAGTTTATTATCGCGGTTAGATAGCTAATCCCGTTATGGAAGTTGAATCATCTCGGAGACTTGGCACTCTTCACTTTAGCCCGGCCTGAGGCTCCGTCGGTGTTTTCGCTTCAGCCTTAGGATTTTTTCATCAAGGTTGTAACGTTGTGTCGGCCGACAGGCAAGAACCCCCAAATCACCCCCAATGGTCGCTTGAATACCTACACAGCCAGCCATGACATCCACCTCGTCTCTGCAATACCACGTGTAGAGATCTACAGGCTGGGAAATACAACGGCTTTATCATACAAAGATTTGCAAAATCAGTGAAGATCGCCATTTGCAGCTGGAGTTTAGACTTTTTAGCACATGCTCGGTCGGTTGATCAGTGGAGTACTGCTGCCTTGTGAGGAAACGGTGAGGTTGTTGGGTTGTGGTTAGCTTGTTCCGAAAATGTTTATGTTTAATTTCCTGCCAATTTCCGCTACTTGTGAACTCAAATTTTCACGATGCTACCTGATGGTGTTCAGCTGAAAACAGGCTTTCGCTTAGAAGGGGTTACCCTGGATGGTGAACTTTAAACGCGAAAAATCGCCGACAACAGGAATTGATGAGTGCAGCGGTGCTGATTAGGGATGAGATCTGATTGCCAGATAAAACAGATAGATTAAATATTATCTAATCTGTTAAATTGGGGGATTATTATGTTGTTTGTGAGTGTTCCTCGTGTTGCAATCGAAATTTACCCAATTTCGCAATCTCATCTTGGAGTACCAAAAAAGCTGCTACAGCCCACAAAGCATCTCGCTCCTAAATACAGGCCAGTATAAAGTGAATATAGTGGTATAATTATATACTTAGTATGATCTCAATTTCATTATATAGACTTGCGCAAGATGGAACGTGTATGCGAGATTGGAGAAATAATGATGCCATTTATAACATCTTGTCCTTATCGATGATTAAACATCACGTCAAAAGTGATACATAGGTGGCTTCACACGACGACGTCCTGTCAATATATAAAATAAGTCCTAATCTCAAGCTCAAATTTCCGTCCCATATCGCAAACAATTTACAGATCTAGCTTTTATCTTATTCTTAGCTATTACCCCAAACCTCATAACATCAACAATAGACATCACCATGCGATCCATGCTCCAAAAGACAATAGGCATCGGCTATGAAGTAACCTGCGTCCTCGCCCACGCCGGCCGCAAGGTCATATGACCAACCGAAAAGAAAGAAGAAAGCCACGAAGCCATTTCCACCATCCAAAATGAACAGTCCAACGGCAAAGTTGGCTGGAAAGAGTGCGACATGGGGCAACTTGCTAGAATCCGTGAAGTCTTCGGTGGTCTGCAAGAAAGAATCCCTTGATACATTTGACTTTTAATTGTCTCGAGGGTATCAGCACGAATCAGTTTGGCTCATATTCAGATGGTATTATAATAATAATATAGGATTGTAAAGATATTTAAAAGTTTAGAATATAACTAAGTATACAATCATGAAAGCAAGACGTAGACCGCAGCCTGGCCTTTCATCATTGATCGCCAAAGTTGAAAGATGGACAAGCCACTAATATTTTAGTCAAGGGCGTAGATTCTCAGCCCATCCTTGGCATACCACAATCTGGATTTTTGACCGCGCTTTGAGGATGTTGCCAAGATCAATAGGCGTGCGGCTGAGCAACAGAGGGCGCTAAACTGAGATAGCGCTTTATCTCAGAGTATTGCAATGGGTTGTCACGAAATGCTGTCAACCTCAACTTAAAAAAATCAACATACTCAGCGATGTCTTCCAACAATGAAAATGCCAGTCCACAGACCACAACACTATCTGGAATGCACGACGACCAACATCCGGACCCGAGCGGTAGCTTTCAATACCCGCCCATCGACCCTTCACGGCAAGTTCGCCTTCTTGCCATTTCTGCCGCCAGCGATCCGATCTCCCATCTCGCTTGCGAGGAAGACAAGCAGAAACAGCTATTGCAACCTATAGAATGCGCCTTTGTCGTCGTCGACCGTGGCAGTCTTCCCTTGACTTGCTATCGCGCGCTATCATACACCTGGAGCTCTCCAGCGTCTCCTTCAGACATGGAGCACATCCTAATTGACGGGCACCCATTTCCCGTGAGTCCCAACGTGCTTTTGTTCCTCAAAAGACGCTGGGCGTTGAAGCAGTATGAGGACGACTTTGGAGCGCCTGAGTCTCGCCAAGATGCACACAGCGTAACCAGGGGACCCTTCTTCATCGATGCCGTCTGCATTAACCAGTTGGACAACGCTGAGAAAGCGGCTCAGGTTCCTTTTATGAACGAAATTTACTGCTACGCAGACGAGGTATTGATCTTCCTAGGGGATATCGAAGCCGGTGGTTGCCATGGATGGAGTAAGAAAGATATGGAGGCGGGTCTGCATTTCTTCCGACGGAAGCTATCTCAACAGGTTCAGCAAACCATTTCTGGGGGTCCTTGGACAGGCACCTACCAGGACTTGGCTTTTATTGAGAATGCCCTGCCACCTCTGACAGAGCGTGATCTATTCTGTTTGGCAGTCCTATGCGGCCGAGCTTACTGGAAACGCATGTGGATTATCCAGGAAGTATTTCTCACGCCGCATCCCGCCACTCTCATTTTCGACATGTTCACGTTCGACTTGCAGACGTTGTGCACACTGCCACTGCGGATTTTCGAGCAGGAGGTCAAGTTGCGACACCCAGACCATGATTTCCAGCGGCCGTTCACCGAAATTAGCAAGTTAAAAGAGGCTCAGAGGGACGTGATTGGCATGCTCAGCTCTCTCGGCGGGTTCACCGGCCTATCGATGCTGGACCTGGGACGTCGGCGTCAATTGCAACCGTTTGGCGAAAGCGGCGGGCTGGAATCACGACAAAGGGGAGATAGCGACAACAACAACAAAAAGATAGATCGGGGGACCGCTGTGCCGCAGGTCTCGACCGCACGCACGTCTGAATCTCACTTTCGCGGTGACCTATACATACCCGACCCTGCTGCACCACTGACATTGGGCCAGGCGTTGCGCCGTTTCGCCAGTCGCACAACTCGCGAATGCAGTCGGTCTGAGGATAGACTGTATGGGTTACTGGGACTGATCTCACAGAAACAGAGATCCCAGATCGAAGTATTCTATGACGGTATGGAGAAAAATGATATGCGCAAGAAACAAGGCGCCGTCCTCTTTGCCTTTGAGCAAGCCCTCCGCATTGTCCTGGCAGAGCTGTGCGCTCAATTTTGGAAATTTGTTCTTTCTGGGCGGGATCCAGCACGTGCGTGTTTTGCCGCGTGCATATTCCTGCGCGACTGGGTGTTCCGTGACCGCCTCGTCGAGGGCAAAGGAGTCGCGTGGCGGCCTGTATTGCGCCGCGTCGTCTGGGAGCTCGATCTCGAGAGGAAGTGGCGTACGTACCGATATTTCGACGTTGGTAGCGCACGACAAAGAGGGGGAATTCTGAGGACAGTGAATAACAACGGAAGACAGTCTCGGCCTAACGCAGCGGAGGTCGATGTATGGTTCGAGCAGATGCGGCGAGAGACGGGCTCTGCCCTCGTGGACATGTTTTTCGACGAGCTGAGTGACAGCAAAAAGGCCGAGACATGTTTCGACGATATTTTCGGAATCGATGGGGGGTTGATGGACCTCTTTGGTACCCGCTATTTGGCGCCTTTATCCCAACCAAGGCATAACAGAACCAATGCAGTTGTAAAGAACTCAGTACATCAATACGGCCATAACGATGATAAGTGTTGCTCATGCGTAGTTTTGTGATAAGGGGAGTTCAGGATTATCTGGCGTTTGTGCATATAATGGATTCATTTCACTCGAGGAATAGAACTTGGCAGAGAAAACGCGTGTCATGCCTTGGCGGTCACCTTTAGCAAAGATCTTGATACCACCAATTGGAATTATAAGATAGGAAGTTTAGCTAGTAAGGGTGCATTAATTTTGATATATGCAGTTGACTACCGCCTTTAAGGTGAATATTATCAAGTCAAGCTTTCCCCTTGTCTCTTTACTCATGGTGCTTCATAGATTCTAGGAGGGCTCCTAGGACGGTCTGAAGGAAAAACCACAGGCTCGGCAGGTAGCTCACTCTTTGATCTCTCAGATTGAGGCTGGTCCTGGTAATAGCTTCCAGGAAGCTCTGCCAGCGTCCCATCATTCTTCCTCCTCGCCCGCATTCTCCAAACTATCCATCCAATACCCCCAAGAATCAGTAGACCTCCAATTGTGGCGCCGACTGCTACACCGGCAATTTCACCGCGAGACAATGAATGAATGACCTTGTACGTTCAATCTTGACCATTGAATTATCCATGAGAATGCTGATGTGATCTCAGCTGCCTGTCTGAACTGTCAATGCGCTTCCTAATTTGCCTAGATGCATGTAGAAGTGGGACAAAACACAACCAACAGCATGACAACCAACAGAGCGTTGCATGAGCAGAATCAGTAGGCCGATCTCCGAAATCACTTGCACGGGTATGTTACCTGATCTGGGAAGTGGTTAGGCGAACAGTGAAAAGGAAAAAGGCTGGGCTTGGTAGGTCGCTGGATAAAATTGCTTCGAGTGAAACCATAGGATATCTAAGGTTAGATAAACTTTCATTCCTTGGAGCTACGTATCGAAAATAGATTTGGGCCAGACTCAGTGGCGAGTAAATGGTCCTGTGAAGGGGTAACGTAGACTCATATCATAGTCATGAAGCGATATTCTAGTTGAGTGTCAATCTAGTCTTTGCAGCGTGTATCTAAGGCACAAATACCTCACAAGACACAAGTAAATGGAATCCAGGTGTGGTAACTTGAATGTTGATTGTAATAGTTTTATTTTGGCCTTGAAATCGCCTCCGGTCTCTTCTTACGACCATTCATGCCTAATCATGTCTTTTCCCTTGGGAGTCCTTCTGGAGAAACCTTCTCGGGTAACGACGCCACCGTTTCATCCCGATATCACTCGAGAAGAGCAAAGTCTGGTTCTAAGCTTGGGTATTGGTGTCCGCAACAGACTGCACGTCAGCAGCCGTCGATCCCTTCCCAGGAGGACCGCCCTTTGCACGAGCCTACACCAGTCAGTAAACCATCATCACATAAACAATAGGAATATCTTACCTCTGCGCGCTGCACCTCAGCGGCATCCTCCTTTGTCACCTCCGTGGGCGGCTTTCGTACGACTTCGCCCGCCTTCTCGAGGAAGTTCTGCTGCTTGTCATGGAGACTCTGTGCGGTGGCTGCGGCGCCGCCTTTGATGGGGCCGCTACCGGTGAGGGCTGATTCTTCAGAAGCAATGGCTGATGCTTCGGCTTGGGTGATGGGGCGGCCGTCGACGGCTTGAGCCTTGATGTCGTCTTTGGTGGGAAGGTCTGCCATTTTGGAAATGATTGTGTTGGGGTACTAGAAGTGATGAGCTTTCAGTGTTCTGCGATGAGGGTTGTCGATTGTGATGATTTTTGGTGGTTTGATGGAGATGAGAGTGGGAGTTTCAAGTTGTGAGGTTTGGTTTAAGAAGCGGGTTGAACGTTGAGATGATATCATAACGTGAAGGGCATCGTCACTGCTCCATAAAATAGACGAGGAAAGAGCTCTCGTTTACAAGGTTCCATTTCTCGTCACAATGACCTCATAATTGAACACTTCAAGACTTGCAACTACAAAAGCGAGGGAAGGACTACAGATTCTGTAAGCACGTGCTATTTCATGCGGTCGAGCGCTGCGGTTTTGGGGCAGGATGGAGAGGCGTTGCGATGAGAAAATGAACGTAACGCACTTTGCACGCCAAAATACTTTGGTTAGAGGTAAAGAGGCAGAAAGGTACCAAAACAGGAATATTCTAAAATATCTTAAAGCATATCTTGAGTCGAGTGGTTCTTAATCCTCACCATGCCTTCAGGACGGTTCACCGTTAGCGTTATGCATATCTCCGCCGCAATTTGGACAACTACGGACATAATTCTCTTATGTCCGCTCTAAGCTCTCAGATAGACTTAGTTCCCTGGCCATAAATGGATGATTCGTACTCATGCTATGGGAGCTGAGCTCTTTGTCAGCAGCGCTGACGAGAGAATCACTCCGGCCCGGCGACTTTTTCTCGTCGCTAAAAGCGCTGATAGGTCAGCGGCAAGATATTGTCCCGTTTCGAACGACAACATCCATGGGTTCAACTAAGCACGCGCTGCGTGGGAAAGATCTGAGTTTATATTATAGGGCTATAAGTAGCCCTTTGGAGCAATTTCGTGTTCAGAACAGCATTTGCTCTATCACTTTAAGTGCACTGCTAGATATTTCTCTAATCACCACCAAACTTTCTAGCAGAATGTCCCAATTCATACCCACCGAGTACACTCCCCTCCTGCTCAAAGGCTTCTCCGCCTGGATCATTTATAATGGCGCATCGCATGTCGTCCGTGGGATAACAGAATATCTTGCCCAAAATGAGCACGCAAAACTCCCTCCATCAACCATCTCCCTCATGGATTCACAGATCCGTTTCCTTGGTGGAACATACATTGCCTATGGCGCTGTGCTATGCTGGGCGTCCTACGATATCAATGAAAGACAGCTGGCCTTGAATATTCTATTGGCTGGTTTGGCGTTGGGTGGTATCGGGAGAGCGATTTCGGCTGGGGTTTTTGGGTGGGGATTTCCGTGGTTGCAACGAGCTACTACCACTGAGATTGTCGTACCCCCCTTGGTCTACTGGTTTGGCTCGGGAAAGTACGTGTAGAGAAGGCAAGGTTGGGCTAGGTGTCATACGGTGTCATGCGTAAGGCTTCATGAATCAACTTTGATATGTTACCCGCGGAAACTAAGAGCAGTGTGCATGACGTGTAGAAGTTTGAAAAGGAACAAAAATTCCGAGATGCCTAGCTATGCTACACCGATGACTTTTATGATGGTTCAGGATTCTTACTTGAGAGGGTATATGGATGGCCTTTCCGTGTGCCCACGAGAGAAAGATCACAACGCAATGCATACATCAGCCAATGCTATTGTGAAGAACTGCTCATTAATAGAGGATTTAGACTCCAAAGGCCAAGAGAACTGAAACAGGAATATATAAACCCTATTGACTAAGTCAATCGACCTTCTTCCTTCTATTTCGCATAAATCGAACTAGTCGCTCTACCTCAGTGATTGCACCGCGTTCTCGGAGAAAGTCGGCCATAGAAGTGTCCTTGTCTACACGCCTCATTGCAAAGTCCAGAGGCATTCGTCCTATGGAGGCTCGATGATTAACAGAAACGCCTTTGTCTATTAGACTCTGGACCATTAATTTTGTGCCTGTTGATGCAGCCACATGAATAGCTCCCATTCCCTTGCCGTTCTCGTTCTCACAGTTGATACCAGCATCTAACAGAAGCAAGACGACAGCATCGTCACCCTTCTTAATAGCACGCGTCAAAACTGTTTCTGCTAAATTTCTTGACGTAGGGTCCATATTAGGGTTCGCGCCATGATCAATCAAAAGTTTCACAACTTTCTTGTTTCCCGCCAAGCATGAATTTGACAAGGCAAGGTCGAGATGCTCTGAAGCTGGTTTGAACACCGCGTCTTCTAGTATCCACGAAACAATATCTAGGCGTCCACTCTGGCAGGCGGAAACAAGAACATAGCAGGAATGTTGATTTCGAGCAGTAGGATCTGTGCTGTGTTGGAGGAGTTGCTTGATGATGTTCTCTCCACAACTGTGACCTACATTGGAAAAAACAATTCTTCCCGCAGTGTTCATAATTTCTAGTCGAGCACTGGCTCCAAGTAATAGCTCAATAACTTCGGGATGACCACCAATGCACGCTTTGATAAGGGCGGTGTCACAGTTGTGATCCTTGCGATCCACATCAGACTTCTTTTCAAGGAGGAGCTCAACGATTCCAGGGGTGCCCTTTTTGCTGGCTTCCATCAAGGCAGTTTGGCCGGTGTCATCTGAAAAGTCAATCGCAGCACCTTTCTCGATAAGTGTCTTCACTAAAGTAAAGTCTCCAACCGAAGCAGCCTCGATAAGAGCTGTGCGACGGTTCTCTCCGCACATGTTGACTGTACCGAGTTCGAGGAGCTTCATGTAGGCCGTTCTCCGACGATGTCGGACCGCCAATACAAGAGGAATATCGCCATGTTGATTTGATGTGCTAATGTCTGCTCCACGGTCGAGTAGCATTTTAATGATATCCTCGTCTCCTGAAATAGCTGCCAAGTGTAGAGGAGTGTTCCCCTCACATCCAAGCATGTGTGGGTTAGCACCTGATGCTATGAAAGCCTTAACAACACGACGACGATCCAAATCAATGTTGAGGTAGAGATCTGAATGGCGCCTGTGCATATAGAAATCAGAAATGAATGAAAATTCGAATGCCAAACACTCCATCGCCCAAACAAGGTCAGTCGGGCCACAATTGTCTATTACATCGAGGTTGGGCCTCTCCATCTGCGACTTTGTCAAATCAATGAGTCCGAAAAGCGCAGCTAGGTGACAGGGATTCAGTTCTTTGGGTGCTTGAATTTTTCCCCACTTCCGAGATCCAAGGGCGAGTACTACAAGGACCGCCTGGTCGAACATACCTCGTCTTCGGAGCAACGCGATGGAATTTATGTAAGTCTGGTCAAACCGTGAGAGGCGTTGCAAATGGCCAACACAGTTGAATGCGCTATATTCGTATAATGGATCCCTCTTAATTTCGTCTACCAAAGCCTCGTAGTCGCGCCGTTCCGGAGACCTTCTTCGCCTAAGAGGTAGTCGTGCAAACCTAGGATGTTTGAACGCAACACAAGATCTAAATCGCTGCTGTGAGTCGTTGCCAATGTCTCCCGAGCGCTGCCTCGGTAAGCCGATGGATAAACAGGTGAGGCACTGCCTTACGAGATAGGCATCGGTGCTTGAAGGCAGGTGACAGTTGAGTAAATGCCGGGTGAGGAAATATTCATCAAGCAAATGCCGGTTATGACGGAAAAAGTCTTTGGTAGTATGGTGGACAAGCCGTAATTCTCCGCTTCCTTTTGAAATCTCGACCAAGCCCCAACATACAGAAAGCATTAGTTGTTGGTCGATCATCCCATCTTCATGAAAGGTTGTGTCACCTTCCCGTAAGGCAAGGCCATGCTGGACTGCATCGACTGGTAGCCTCCAGCCTGTGCAACATATCCAAGTTATAACTCGAAAGGCTAGGTCACAGTGTTTTTGATTTTGTTCTTTGAGCCGCTGTAAGGTATCACTGTATGCTTGGTCCACAATATTGAACTTTGGGTTGGTGTTGTCCTTCGCTCGGCCTTCGAGTCGCTTCAGAGCATCTTTCACGTCTCTTTCCGAGGTCTCGTGTTCCAGTGAGTGGAGGTATAGCCTTGCTAAAAGAAACCTTGGTTGACATTAGTAAGGGAGTGCTTGATATGGAACATGGTTCTAGAAACTTACATTCCCCTCACAAGTCTTGACATAATCTCTTTTACCATATTTTTTAGTCCTGTTATCTTGCCAATGCAACTCGACTCGGGCCATCCAAAATTGTCAACGTAGGCGTCAATATCCTCCTGTTGAGCAATAATCGAAAGACAAGGGTAACTACTAAACTGATTTGTGGTGAGGGGTAAAGGTCGAGATGTGGCGAGAAGGTTAATGGCCAATTTCCATTGAAGAAAGAGAAGCTCGCCTGGCAGGGAGTAAAGCCCCGCGTGGTCTTCTGCTCGCCATTCATCTAACGCATCAACAACCAGAAAGACTTTAGAAAACAGGCTCGAGACGGATTTCAGCACTGAAAAACTCGTCTCTCGAGGGATTTTCACCCGTTGAGGCTTGTATTGGTTGTAAACCTCCATTATGCACTCAGGGAGGGGAGACAATCGTTCACAAAGCTGTCTCAGTATATTCGCCCGCAATTCGTTGAATGTTTGCCGATCAACACGATTGTATCGGCAGTAAATATGGACGATGACGGCGCTCGAATTAGGCTGAAAGCGAGCATGCAGGTCCTCGATGACGGCAGATGCGAGGACGGACTTTCCAGCCCCGGCAATGCCCGGGCAGAAAAGGACTTGGCTTTTGTCTTGTGTCCAAGACTGATATTCCGGTGAGTTGAGAAACCACTGGCACGTTCCTGGAGCCTTTTTACTGCGTTCATCGAACTGATAAGCTCCGAAGTCTTCATCTGAGAGCCAGTCCAGTACTTCCTGTTCTGCAATGGATCGTTTCAGATGCTCCACGCCGGAAATGACTGAATTGAGTGTTATCTTTTAGAAGTAGGTTTCCCAAAAGTAAACAAGACTACTGACCTTCATCAATTTTTGAGATCATAGTTTGCTCCCTTGCAACGGCCTCTGGGCGGATTCTGCTCAGAATCTGCTTAGCATATACAGCCGCTGTCATAGCTGCATAACCCTGCCAA